TTTCTGCTGAGAGATCTGCTGTGAGTCTAATGGGCTTCCCTTTGTGGGTAACCCGACCTTTCTCTCTGGCTGCCCTTAGCATTTTCTCTTTCATTTCAACCCTGGTGAATCTGACGATTATGTGCCTTGGGGTTGCTCTTCTTGAGGAATATCTCTGTGGTGTTCTCTGTATTTCCTGGATTTGAATATTGGTCTGCCTTGCTAGGTTGGGGAAGTTTTCCTGGATAATATCCTGAAGAGTATTTTCCAGCTTGGATTCATTCTCTTCATCACATTCAGGTACACCTATCAGACGTAGATTAGGTCTTTTCACATAGTCCCACATTTCTTGAAGATTTTGTTCATTCCTTTTTGCGCTTTTTTCTCTGTTCTTGCCTTCTCTTTTTATTTCATTGAGTTGGTCTTCGATCTCTGATATCCTTTCTTCTGCTTGGTCAATTCGGCTGTTGAAGCTTGTGCATGCTTCACGAAGTTCTCGTGTTGCGTTTTTCAGCTCCATCAATTCACTTATTCTCCTCTCTATGCTGTCCATTCTCGTCAGCAGTTCGTCCAATCTTTTTTCAAGGTTCCTATTTTCTTTGCGATGGGTTAGAACATGTTCTTTTAGCTCATTGTAGTTTCTTACTACCCATCTTCTGAAGTCTGATTCTGTCATTTCATCACCCTCCTTCTCCATCCGGTCTGGTTCCCTTGCTGGTGAGGAGTTGTGATCACTTTTAGGAGGAGAGGTGTTCTGGTTTCGGGAGTTTTCATCCTTTTTACGCTGGTTTCTACCCATTTTTGTGGGTTTATCCACCTGTTGTCTGTCTCTGTCCCAGGGAGTTGGAGCATTATGAGTTTCCGTTGCACTACTGCCTTTTTTGATTTTTTTTTTTTTTTTTCAGGTCGGACCCGCCCAGCTAGCAGCATGCCTAGCCTCTGCCTGCCCGCAGGGACTTTGCTGAGCTGCTGTGGGCTCCGCCCAGCTGCCCTGAGCTCTTCCCTGTAGTCCTTTTTATATGGGCGTAGTTAGAACTGTCTGGGCAACGGTGGCCCCGCCTCTGTTATGGCGGACTCTCTCTGTTGTGGCAGGTTGCCTCGGCAACGGCGGGTTGCCTCGGCAACGGCAGCCTGCCTCCGTAGCGGTGGAGAGTCTCAGTAATGGCGGAAGCCCCTCCCCCACGGAGCCGGACCTTCCCGGTTCAGCTGTGCTTGGTTTGAAGGGCTCAACCCAGAGGGTTTCCAATTACTGTTTTTGGTTGTTGTTGGGGGTGGAGGGGTGGGACCAACCGAGCCTGATCACCTGGCTCCCTGACTCAGAGTCTTTTCTTTTAAGTTGAACGACCCCGCGTTCCGGTCGCTTGTTGAAAAGGCGCCGGGATCTCCCGTGCTGCGACTCACGGAGTCGGCTCGAACCGCGGCGCCGGCTCCTGGCGGATTTTTTGCCTAGGAATCTCCTGGCCTGACTCGCTATTTCAGATGAATGGGCTATTCTGCCGTCTCAAGGCTCTGCTCGCCAGCTAAGAGGGCTCCCAGACCAGTGGCTTTTGTATGGAGAACCACAGCAACAGGGAGTGGTCACAGCAGCCGCGCGGGCGGAATCAGCCCCTCGGGGGCCAAAACAGCCGCACCGGCTGGACTGTGATGCTGGCGACCCCTCTGCCTGGGTATCTCCTTGTCTGTGGGCAATAAGAGTTCGTCTAGAAATGCGGCGTCCACTCACCCTCTGCACTTTCACTGGGAGCTGAAGTCCTGAGCTGTTCTTAGGCGGCCATCTTGAAAGTCGGTTGCATTCACTTCTTGGAGTTTATTCCAGTTTGACTTTCTTTAATCTCAGTTCTTAAGGCTATCTCATTATTGTTTTGTTGGTACTCCATTTGCAAAATCATTTTAATTTCTTCAGGAAAAAAATCTTAATTCCTACCACCTGTGTTTATTTTTTCTCTGCTATGCAGGAACTGTCATTGTCACCACCCCACCCCCATTTCCTCTATAGAATCTTTTCAAAATGTAGTATTCTGTTAGGATAGTGTAGAAAACAGTTGAGGTCTTACATGAGATTCGGAGTTGAAAGCAACCTTGAGACTTACACATGATATGAAATGATTGATATTCTAGAGCTGCCTACCAAGGACATGTTCAACTTTATGAAATATTTCAAGACATGATGATATCTTGCATAATTTTACAAAAGACAGTCTCTTTGAGTAGCCATGCCCTCATTGTTTTCCTATCCTCATGACCTCCTCATTTAATCTCACCTCTTGAAATTTATAAGTTTTCTTTGTACCATGTACCTTTGTTTTACCATTAATTTCATCATTGCTAGTTATTGCATTAGAGCTTGCCCTGTCTTCCAGACCAGCTATGCTTCTTCAGACATGGTGTCTTTCACTTTTGTATTTAGAATCCAAGCAGGTAATTTGGAGCAGACAGTATGACATGAAGAATGCTAGAGTCTAAGAACCTGATTTCTCATAACTGTGACATTGGATAAGTCACAGCTTTATCTTCTCTGGGCATATAGTTCTTCACCCTTCACATGAAGGAAGTGGAGTATATAAGTATCTGAAGCTGTAAAAATATATGTGGATCCATGAATTTACTAGGGGATCCTCTGTTGAGTAGAGGAAATGAAGATTGAGTGTTCTCTGAAGTGGGACTATTACATACATGCAACTCAAGATTTCATGCCTAAGTTACTTTTTTAATCTGTAAACTAAAATTCTAGTTGGTGAAAGTGACAAAAAAAGTTCAAATAAAATACGTGTTTAATAAAGAAAAAAACAAAAGTATGTGTTTGAAAAATGAATATACAACTAGCATCCTTTTTGGATTTCTCTTCTAGGTGCCCTCTTCTTGGTATGTTCTTATTTCTACCTCAGTATTTTTATTTTCTCATCTTCTTTTTGTGTATATTTGGTCATAGGCTCTACTCCCATCCATTGGGTCAGTTTTTCTGAGCATCAGTTTGAAATGTTATTTATATGAATGTGAACATTATTAAGTAGTAGTAATACTTCACTAATTTTGAAAATTGTTGAGAATTCATTTTTGGATTAGTGAAAAATTTGAAGATAATTGTGTTTAATAGCTTAGAATTCTTTATAATAGGTTATCACAGGTTTGTAACTAATAAGGATTAAGGAACTTAAAAGTATGGTTTTTTTCTTATTTGCATTGTTTTTCTCCTAATTATAATTTATATTATTTTAGAGGAGCATTTAACCGACCTGGAGAGATTTTTTTTAGTCATTCCATTGATATCTGTACCTATTTGGTTTGGCTTTACATTTTACCATTGACTTTGATGAAAACATTGTAAAATTATTTTTGCTGCATTTTGAGAGGGCTACCTGTTTATAATTATCCCTACCCTTCAAAGTTTGTTTTTTTTTTTTCCTAAAAAAGGAAACTGTCTGAAAACAAGCCAGACTAGGATGAATTTCAACAGAAATGGATGTAAATATTTACAAGATAACTTCCCTTACAGGAGAGAATTGAATAAATAGTACTTAATTGTTAAAAGTTTCAGTTCATTAGAGGTTCAAGACTACAGAAAAATGTCTAATAAATATTGGCTTACCAAGATCCAGGTAGGCTATTTCTTTCCTGTGCTCATGAAGTCGAGAGACAGTCTAGGATAATTATGGCACTGACCATATATAGTTTACATGAAATAATCTAATTATGTTTTACTTCCTATTTGATCATAACTTTCTTGAATATTTAACTCTCTGCCATGTACTTACTTGTTTACTTACTAATTTTATTGATTTCCAAGTCACAGTGTAAAATATTGTCACAATTATTCTTGCTTATTCACAATACCGATGAGTTCTATTTGGGAAGATAAAGGTATTTTTATATAGTACTGGTAAAGGATGTCGTTCAGAAGGGAGTTTCTCTTGAGCCCATCTGTATGCTCCATAATTTCTCTAGGAATCAAATGTGCCTAGGAAGGTGTAGACCAGTACATTTACTATCAAAAGACATCTTTGAACTTCTTTGCTCTCCTTAGTAATTTGTCTAAAATTTACATAAAAGCAATGCAAATTTAAAATTGACCTAGTGAAACAAAGATGGAATATTTTATGTAAATATTAGGTAAAATCATTGAACTTTTAAAACATTTTTTAAACGGTAAATCAGTGATGAAAAAGACAGTTAGGGTACACATTTCAGTGTATAATTTAGCCTGTAATATACTGTTTCCAGGTTGTATTTAAATTTGTCCCTGACTTGCTTTTCCATTTTCTTGTTGGGTTACATTTTGAATAATTTGATGATTAACACTTAAAACTTTATCATTTTTGTAAGTGGCACTTATTTAATTCATCTCTCTACTTTTAGACTAGTTGGTAACCTAGCATTTTGGGGGAATTTGGAAGTATTTACTTCTATTTTATGTCATCAGATTCGACTGAATGAACATAATTTAAGAGGAAAATAATGATGCCTTTGATACAGAATATAAATTTTTTTGTTTTTTTATATGCCGGACAATGTGATTCAGTTAAAATATTTTTACATAAGATTATTAAATAATATATTTTTAAAATTTCAGTTCTTTGTTAGAAATAGTAGGCTTGCCTGCTTTCTAGGTTTTGTTGTTTATAAGTATTACTTCAAGTCTTTTTTTAAAAAAGACTTATAGGTCATTAATCCAGTGTAATGTTCTCCTACTTTAGGGGTCTAGATTCTTCCGGGTGTGGGGGTGTGTGTGTGTGTCCCTCTTGGCCTTTCTGTTTTATGTTTTGTATGTCTTTTACTTTTGTTCATTCCTATTTCTGCTAAGCCATTGTTTATAGCTTTTTACTGTGAAATTGCCTAACTCTTAAGTAGCAGGCTATATCTCTGTGTCATGATTCTATTCTTATTCTTTTTCCTTCATGTCTACTAAAACTATATCTAGGGTTGTATATTTAATTTGTTAATGATGTATGTACTTTGCTATTGTTAATTGAAACAGCAACATGGATTTTAATACTCAGTTAGTTATTGTTGGTCTAATTTTCCAGGCTAGAGATCCTCAGCAGGAGCCTATGGAAGAGATAGAAAATTTGAAGAAACAACATGATTTATTAAAAAGAATGTTACAACAGCAGGAGCAACTGAGAGCTCTACAGGGACGGCAGGCTGCACTACTAGCTCTGCAACATAAAGCAGAGCAAGCTATTGCAGTGATGGATGATTCTGGTATGTCACAGTCTGAGAATATTCTTTTTGTAAGGAAGACTCAGACAATTGTATGGCAGGGTGGATGCTGATTATTATATCATCACATCTTGATTGTTGTCTAGTTTAGAAACCTATATATGAGGCTTATGCTTTCCTGTGCTTTTCTCTGGTTATGCAGAAAAGATTGCAGGGACAACTGCTGGCCATCATATTATATCGTGCAGACAGCCAGATCGCTCTCCTTTTCATCAGAAAATACCCTTTAGAGGTAAAAGAGACAGCCTATAGTTCTGTTTTGTACATCAGACTGATAAGGCTTGTGATGCATTTATTTCCCTTTTTCCTATTTCTTTCAACGAGGATTGTCATTTTTTGCTTGTTGCCCAAGAAAGAATTAAAACCTTAAATGAGACAGTGAATAAATTTATAAAGCATCTTTAGCATTCATGTTAGTAGTAGGTGTTATTTTTTTTTTTTTTGAGACGGAGTTTCGCTCTTGTTACCCAGGCTGGAGTGCAATGGCGCGATCTCGGCTCACCGCAACCTCCGCCTCCTGGGTTCAGGCAATTCTCCTGCCTCAGCCTCCTGAGTAGCTGGGATTACAGGCACACGCCACCATGCCCAGCTAATTTTTTGTATTTTTAGTAGAGACGGGGTTTCACCATGTTGACCAGGATGGTCTCGATCTCTCGACCTCGTGATCCACCCGCCTCGGCCTCCCAAAGTGCTGAGATTACAGGCTTGAGCCACCGCGCCCGGCCCTTAGGTGTTATTTTAATTAGGTATCCAATTGTATGTACCAGCTCCTTAGAACTCTATTTGTAGTCCATACATTCTTCCTAAGATTCAGAAATTTTTTTCCTCCCTCTTTCATAGCCATGTGTGATCAAGATGAAATTGTGTTGAATTTATTAGTATTCAGTCTTTGTAAGTTTATCATCACTTTCAAACCTAAGAGTTTTAGTTTCTCATTAAAAAAAAAAAGGATAATTACTTATTAACAATAAAACTAAGTTGTGTTTTCTAGTCTATCCCACCATCTCCTTCTAATAATAATTTCTCTTCTTTGAGCACTTTGTTTTGTGGGTGAGTTTAGGTTCTCACTGAAGCTACCCTGTTGTGAATCAGTTTATTTTGCTGTCCAGATGTAGCCCACTGGCTCAACTGTTTAATCCCTGTTATACCTAGTTTAAGTTTTCATTTTCATAAAGAATGTTATCACTTTCAAATAACTTACCCTTTTGGAATAATTATATAACTGTATATCGTACTGTATATAGTAGTAATTAGAAAGATTTTTGTTCCTATTTTTCCTTTGTAAAATTTAAAGTACTATTAGCTTTTCTATTTATATTTAGGAAATAGATAATTTAGGAAAAGATAATTAAAATATTTTAACATAATGACTAAATACTAGTTTGACTAACCTTTTAAATATTTTTCAAGTTTGGAATATCAAATTTAAAAGCTTGTAAGTAATGTAACCTCTGATAGTTACATTACTGTCTATATTTGTATAATCTCCTTTGATCATCAGAGATTTCTAGGTTAGTCAGAGCTTTAGTTCTTATTTTTATGGAGAAGGAATTCTACAGAGTTTGTAACTTGCCTAGATATATATAGAATTTTAGCAGAATCACATTTCTTGAATTCTAGGTCAGGGGTCTTATTTCTGTTTCTGAATATGAACTTTTAAAAGTAAGCAGATAATTTCTTCTTTAAAAATACATTGCATCAGAGAATAGGAGTATAATGCACATATTTTGTACTATTTCAAAAAGAATTTTAGTAATTTTAAAACAGATTTACTCTTGTGTTTGTGAGATTTTGCAGGGAAGTACTAATGAAAAGCCACAGTTGAAGTATTTAATCTGGTATATGAGAAGGTACTACCTTGGGATAATTATGTTACTTCAGAGTGTCCCTTTCACCATTTAACTAGCAATTTACATATGTTGTCAGTACTGTAATTACTTTCTTTTCAGCATGGAGTTTTGACTAGATACATAGGATTCCATATAGCTTTGAAATTCTCAGTGGAAAAAAGCTAGTATTTTCCTTTAAAACAGAAGCAATTTATAACCAATTTCCTTTTCTTTCTTTTTTTTTTTTTTTGAGGCAGGGTCTCGCCCTGTCACCCAGGCTGGAATACAGTGGCGTGATCTTGGCTCACTGCAGCCTCCACCTCTCTGGCTCAAGTACTCCCCTCACCTAAGCCTCCCGAATAGCTGAGACTACAGGTGTGCAACACCATGCCAGGCTGATCTTTGTAGTTTTGTAGGGACGGGGTCTGTGTTGCCCAGGCTGGTCTTGAACCCCTCCTCTCAAGTAGATCTGCCTGCCTCACCCCCACCCAAAGTGCTGGGATTACAGGCGTGCGACACTGCACCTGGCCACCAGTGTCTTTTTTAGAGTTGGAGAGTTAGAAGTGAAGGTACGGATGGGGTTATTTGTTGGTAGAACAGTAACTCTTATGAAAATGGTCACAAAACTGCTTTACCAGTATGGGGGCATGTTTTTTAGTTTAAGAAGATAAAAACCACAGTCTTTTAGTATGAGTTGTATCACAAACAGCCACTTTGCTAAATTACACATTTTACTATAGGAGTCAGCAAACTGTGGTCAGCTGGCTTTAGTTCAGTGCCTGAAATAAAGTTTTAGGGAACACAGCCATGCCCATTTGTTTACATCGTCTACAGTTGCTTTTACCCTGTAACAGCAGAGTTGGGTGGTTGAAACAAAAACTGTATTTCCCACAAAGCCCAACATATTTACTATTTGAATCTTTAAGAAAAGTATGCCAACCGTTCTACCAGAGCATTAATTCTATTCGAGAACATAGAGATTGAAACTTGTCAGAATCAGCTGTGCTTTTTTACACTATCACTTAACCTTCTACTCCCCAGTGACCTTAGAAATCCCTGCTCCTCTGAGTCACTGTTATTAATTGGGATGTAACAGTATCCCTCCTGTATGTTGAGACAGAAAAAGATGAACCACTTTACTAGAGTTTTGTGACCATCCCTTTATTTTTAGGTTAGATGGAAGCTTCCAATAAAATGATTATTGGCAGATAGATCAGTGTTAACTAGTTTCAAGTTACTTAGGTAAGCGTTTTAAATGTTTAAAAATTTATTAGCTTCTCAGATTAAAAAAGGCATTTGATTTATTTATATTAATTAATAGTTATTAATTTCCAGTTGCAGAAACTGCAGGCAGCTTATCTGGCGTCAGTATCACATCTGAACTAAATGAAGAGTTGAATGATTTAATTCAGCGTTTTCACAATCAGCTTGGAGATTCTCAGGTAACCTAGTTGTTTCAGTATAGTTGAGTTTAAAAATCACATTAATTAAAACAGTGGTTCTGAAACTTGAGTGAGCATACGTATCATCTGGCATGATTGTTGAGCAGTGTAGGTTTCCGGTTGGTGCGGTCCCCCCACCTTCCAAAATTATGATTCATGGATTTGGGGTGGGCGTCTCCATGTTTGAGTCCAGTGCTGGTGGTCTGGGGACTATACTTTGTGAATCACTAAGTTAGGAGAAAATTTGCTTTGAAATGATCAGTGAAGTTTTTCCTTCGTATGCTACTGGTGGCGTATTTTTTTTCCTCCAATATACTTAATGGTCACAACCATTAAGAGTTTGATTTAAATCTGTGTCCTTTGACTAGATTTATGAGATTCAATATAGTCATGGAATTCTCATTTGAAGGAATATTTTGCTAACAATTTTAAGAAAGTTCTTAATTTGTGAATTAGTGAGTTGTAATCTGATGCACTTTGTAAGTGATACAAGAGCATATTTTCAATATGTGGGCCTTTGGTAAGAAAGGATGAATTAATGCCTGTCCACTGGAAGTGAGTGTGATTGAAGATGCAGTGTCTCATCTTCTTGCTGACCAAGTGAAAATGAGAGAATATGGCGCAACCACTTTGAAGAATTATATAGCAGTACCTGGTAAATTTTTTCTGGGAGACCCATGGCCTACTTGAGAGAAACTCTCTCATGTTTGTGAGAAGATGGATATAAGAATATTCATGGCAGCTCTGTGTTAATAGCAAAAAACCAGAAACAGCCCAAATGTCCACGAACAGAAAAATGGGTTAACGAATTCTGATACAGACATAGAGTGAAATTCTTTACAGGAGTTACAGTAAATAAGCCATGGCTAATGAATGAAAACTTAAAGTTTAAGAAGGACACGACTCAACTTATTTTTTAAAAAGTCTGCATTTTAAATTTATGTATACATAGTATTAGAAAATAAAAACATGTATGAGAATGGTAGATACCTGATTCTAGGTTGTGGTGACCTTTGGAATAGGTAATAATATTATAAAGGGTACAAATAGTTAAATTTGCTTTAGTTAAATTTGTAATGTTATATTTGATGCAAATATGGGTAAATGTTGAAATGTGTCTTAGCATAATGGGAAGTATTCATTATATGATTTTCTAAGCCTTAGTGGATTCTTGCAATGTTTCATAATTTAAAAAAAAAAAAAAAGGCCGGGAGCAGTGGTTTATGCCTGTAATCCCAGCATTTTGGGAGACCAAGGCAGGAGTTTGAGACCCGTCTGGCCAACATGGTGAAACCCCATCTCTATTAAAAATGCAAAAATTAGCTGGGCGTTGTGGCACACACCTGTAATCTCAGCTGCTCGGGAGGCTGAGGGGCAGGAGAATTGCTTGAATCTAGGAGATGGAAGTTGCAGTGAGCTGAGATCGTGCCACTGCACTCCAGCCTGTGCCACAGAGTAACACTTTGTCTCAAAAAGGAAAAAAAAGAAAAGGAACATGAGAGAGAAGTGATGGGAAAAATTGCTGTGTTAAGAAGTTAAAGTTTACAGTGGTAGCTCTAGAAAGAAGGCAAGAGAAAGAATGAGATTTTGAAGGTTTATTTTATGTAACGTGGCATTTTATTACTTTTGATTTAAGTGATGATGTTCAGTGAATCCAAGACCACTGTGTGGTTATGTGTCTATAAAACCACATAGAGTCAGCTCTTAGTATCTGTGGTTTCTACATCTGTAGATTTAACCAACTGTGAATCGACAATATTTTGGGGGGGAAAATAACACTACAACAATTTTTAAATGCAAATTAAAACATATAACAACGATTTACATAACGTTTACATTGTATTAGGTAGTATATGTAATCTAGAGATGATTTAATGTATATGGGAGGATGTGTGTAGATTATATGCAAATACAACACCATTTTATATAAGAGATTTGGGTATTACCTGTCGTTTGTTTTTGGTGGCCTGGGGATCCTTGAACCAACCCCTCAGGGATACTGAAGGATGACTTCATATATTGATAATGGCGGCCAGGTGTGGTGGCTCATGCCTGTAATCTTAGCACTTTTGAAGGCCAAGCCAGTGGATCACCTGAAGTCAGGAGTTTGAGATCAGCCTGACCAACTTAGTGAAACACCTCTCTATTAAAAATACAAAAATTAGCTGGGCATGGTGGCAGGCTCCTGTAATCCCAGCTACTCGGGAGGCTGAGGCAGGAGAATCACTTGAACCCAGGAGGCGGAGGTTGCAGTGAGCTGAAATCGCATCTTTGCTCTCCAGCCTGGGTGACAAGAGCAGGATTCCATCTTAAAAAGAAAAGTGGCATATCAGGAAACCATATTTAATTTGGGAATAGTAAGGGTATATGCTTACCTACCAGCACAACCTAGCAAATATTTGTCTCTCTTTATAAAGAATATTTATGTATTTAAAAAACGAGAATGCATTTAATTGCCTTAGTCTTAATTCTTCTCTTTTTTTGTTTTTTAATAAGCCTCCAGCTGTTCCAGACAATAGAAGACAGGCAGAAAGTCTTTCATTAACTAGGGAGGTTTCCCAGAGCAGGAATCCATCAGCTTCAGAACGTTTACCTGATGAGAAAGTTCAACTTTTTAGCAAAATGAGAGTGCTACAGGAAAAGAAACAAAAAATGGACAGATTGCTTGGAGAACTTCATACACTTCGAGATCAGCATCTGAACAATTCATCATGTGAGTAAACCTGGTTCAGCAGTATTAGGTGTAAGACACAGAAGTATGTATACTGTCGTATAATAGTTAAATTTAGTATTTGATGAATGCACACATAGTTCCTCAAAAATATTTGTAGAGACTTAAGACGTGCATGTGAAAATTTTTAAGTCACAAGCCAATACATGACAGAAGCCAAATAGATGGTAAATAAGTTTTGTAATTCAGAAAAGGGAAAGAATAGTTAGACCTTCAAAAATTGGTAGGATTTTAGTAAATGAAAGGTAGGAGAAAGGTTAACTATTTGATACTTGGATATTATAATACTGTGTTTTTAAACCTATTCAACATTTTCCCATAAAGAAAAATTAGCCGGGCGCGGTGGCTCACGCCTGTAATCCCAGCACTTTGGGAGGCTGAGGTGGGTGGATCACGAGGTCAAGAGATCGAGACCATCTTGGTCAGCAAGGTGAAACCCCGTCTCTACTAAAAATACAAAAATTAGCCGGGCATGGTGGTGCACGCCTGTAATCCCAGCTACTCGGGAGGCTGAGGCAGGAGAATTGCTTGAACCCAGGAGGCGGAGGTTGCGGTGAGCCAAGATTGTGCCATAGCACTCCAGCCTGGGTAACAACAGCGAAACTCTGTCTCAAAAAAAAAAAAAAAGAAAAGAAAAAAAAGAAAAATTAATACAATTAGTATTTTGGTATAAAAACCCAAAACTATTGAAACAGAGTGTTTATTTTAAAAAAAATGAAAAATTTGTATATATGGTTTAGTATAGAGTCCACAACTTCTAACTCCTTGTCTTATATTCATTATTTTATTTTATTTATTTTACTTTAGGTTCTAGGGTACATGTTCAGGTCATGCAGGATTGTTGCATAGGTGCATACATAACCAGGTGGTTTGCTACCTCTATTTCCCCTTCACCTATATCTGGCATTTCTCTCCATGTTATCCCTCCTCACCCTCCCCACCCCCAGCTGTCCCTCTCCTACCTCCACCCCACCCCACCCCTAGTGTATGATGCTCCTTTCCCAGAGTCCACATGTTCTCATTGTTCAGCACCCACCTGTGAGTGAGAACATGTGGTGTTTGGTTTTCTGTTCTTGTGTCAGTTTGTTGAGAATGATGGTTTCCAGATTCATCCAAGTCCCTACAAAGTACACGAACTCATAGTTTTTTATGGCTGTGTTGTATTCCATGGTGTATATGTGCCACATCTTTGTACAGTCTATCATTCTGGGCATTTGGGTTGGTTCCAGGTCTTTGCTATTGTACACAGGGCTGCAATGAACATACGTGTGCACGTGGCTTTATAATAGAACAATTTATGGTCCTTTGGGTATATACCCAGTAATGGGATTGCTGGGCGAAATGGAATTGCTATTTCTAGATCCTTGAGAAATCACTGCACTGTCTTCCATAATGATTGAATTAATTTACATTCCCACCAACAGTGTAAAAGTGTTCCTGTTTCTCCACATCCTCTCCAGTATCTGTTGGTTCCAGATTTTTTAGTGATCGCCATTCTAACTGGCGTGAGATGGTATCTCAGTGTAGTTTTGATTTGCATATCTCTAATGACCAGTGATGATGAACATTTTTTCATATGTTTTTTGGCCTCATATATGTCTGATTTTGAGAAGTGTCTGTTCATATCCTTTGCCCACTTTTGAATGAGTTTGTTTTTTTCTTGTAAATGTTTTAGTTCTTTTTGGATTCTGGATATTAGCCCTTTGTGAGATGGGTAGATTGCAGAATTGTTTTCCCATTCTCTTGGTTGTCAGCTCTGATGATTGTTGCTCTGAAGCTCTAAAGTTTAATTAGATCCCATTTGTCTATCTTGGCTTTTGTTGTTAATTGCTTTTGGTTTTTTAGTCATGAAGTCCTTGCCCATGCCTATGTCCTGGAGTTTTGCCTGTGTTTTCTTCTAGAGTTTTTATGGTGTTAGGTTTTATGTTTAAATCCTTAATCCATCTGGAGTTAATTTTAGTGTAAGGTGAGAAGAAAGGGTCCAGTTTCTGTTTTCTGCACATTGCTAGCCAGTTTTCCCAACACTGTTTAACATGGAGTCCTTTCCCCATTGCTGTTTTTGTCAGGTTTGTCCAAGATCAGATGGTTTTAGATGTGTGGTGTGGCTTCCAAGGCCTCTGTTCTGTTCCATTGGTCTATGTCTCTGTTTTGGTACTGGTACTATACTATTTTGATTACTGTTGCCTTGTTAGTATAGTTTGAAGTCTGGCAGTGTAATACCTCTGGCTTTGTTTTTTTTGCTTAGGATTGTCTTGGCTATGTGGGCTCTTTTGTGGTTCCATATGAAGTTTAAAGTATTTTTTTCCATTTCTGTGAAGAAGGTGATTGATAGCTTGATGGGGATAGCATTGAATCTATAAATTACTTAGGGCAGTATGGCCATTTTCACGATACTGATTCTTCCTAACCATGAGCATGGAATGTTTCTCCGTCTGTTTGTGTCCTCTCTTATTTGGTTGAGCAGTGGTTTGTAGTTCTCTGTGAAATGGTCCTTTACATCCTTTGTTGTATTCCTAGGTATTTATTTTCTTTGTAGTAATTGTGAATGGGAGTTCACTCTTGATTTGGCTCTCCTTAAGTCTGTTATTGGTATATAGGAATGCTTGTGATTTCTGCACATTGATTTTGTATCCCGAGACTTGGCTGAAATTGCTTACCAGTTTGAGAAGATTTTGGGCTGAGATGATGAGTTCTTCTAGATTTACAATCATGTCATCTGCAAATAGAGACAGTTTGACTTTCTCCTTTCCTAATTGAATACTCTTTATTTCTTTTTCTTACCTGATTACCCTGGCAAGAACTTCCAATACTATATTGAATAGGAGTGGTGAGAGAGGGCATCCTTGTCTAGTGCCAGATTTCAAAGGGAACGCTTCCAGCTTTTGCCTGTTGAGTATGATATTGGCTGTGGGTTTGTCATAAATAGCTTTTATTATTTTATGATACATTCTGTCAATACTTAGTTTATTGAGAGTTTTTAGCATGAAGGGCTGTTGAATTTTATCGAAGGCCTTCTCTGCTTCTATTGAGATAATCATGTGGTTTTTGTCTTTGGTTCTGTTTATGGACTTGCGTATGTTGAACCAGCCTTGCATCCCTGGGATGACGCCTACTTGATCATAATGAATAAGCTTTTTGATGTACTGTTGCAATCGGTTTGCCAGTATTTTATTGAAGATTTTTGCGTCACTATTCATCATGGATATTGGTCTGAAGTTTTCTTTTTTAGTTGAGTCTCTGCCTGATTTTGGTATCAGGATGATGTTGGTCTCATAGAATGAGTTAGGGAGGATTCCCTCTTTTTGTATTGTTTGGTATAGTTTCCGAAGGAATGGAACCAGCTCCTCTTTGTATGTCTGGTAGAATTCGGCTGTGAACCCATCTGGACCTGGACTTTTTTTGGTTGGTAGCCTATTACTGCTTTAACATCAGCCCTTGTTATTGGTCTGTTTAGGGTTTCAACTTCTTCCTGGTTTAGTCTTGGTAGAGTGCAAATGTCCAGGAATTTATCCATTTCTTCCAGGTTTACTGGCTTAAGTGCAAAGAGCTGTTTGTAGTAATCTTTGATGGTAGTTTGTATTTCTGCGGAATCACTGGTGATACCCCTTTATCGTTTTTTATTGCATCTATTTGATTCTTCTCTCTTTTCTTTTTTATTAATCTGACTAGTGGTGTGTCTATTTTCTTGATCTTTTCAAAAAACCCGCTCCTGGATTTAATGATTTTTTTGAAGTGTTTTTTTGTGTGTGTGTGTGTATCTCTATCTCCTTCAGTTCAGCTCTGATCTTAGTTATTTCTTGTTTTCTGCTAGCTTTTGAGTTTTTTAAATCTTGCTCCTCTAGCTCTTTTGAGCTTGATGATAGGGTGTTGATTTTAGATCATTCCTTGTTTCTCACGTGGGCATTTACTGCTATAAATTTCCCTCTCGACACTGCTTTAAAGGTGTCCTAGAGATTCTGGTAAGTTGTGTCTTCATTCTGATTGGTTTCGAAGAACATCTTTATTTCTGCCTTCATTTCATTGTTTATCCAGTCGACACTTAGAAGCAAGTTGTTGAGTTTCCAAGTTGTTATGCGGATTTGAGTGAGTCTTTTAATCCTGAGTCTTACCTGATTGCACTGTGGTCTCATAGACTCTTTGTTATGATTTCCATTCTTCTGCATTTGCTAAGGAGTGGTTTGCTTCCAATTATATGGTCAATTTTTGAGCAAGTGTGATGTGGTGCTGAGAAGAATGTATATTCTATGGATTTTTGGGTGGAGTGTTCTATATATGTCTGTTAGGTCCACTTGGTCCAGCTCTGCATTCAAGTCATGGATGCCCTTGTTAATTTTCTATCTCGTTGATCTGTCTAATATTGACATTGTAGTGTTGAGGTCTCCCACTATTATTGTGTGGGAGTCTAAATCTCCCTTTAGGTCATTAAGAACTTGCTTTGTGTATCTGGGTGCTCCTGTGTTGGGTGCTTATATATTTAGGTTAGTTAGCTCTTCTTGTTGGATTGATCCTTTTATCATTATGTAATGCCCTTCTTTGTCTCTCTTGATCTTTGTTGATTTGAAGTCCGTTTAATCAGAGACTAGGATTGAAAACCCTGCTTTTTTTTGTTGTCCGTTTGCTTGGTAAATCTTCTTCTATCCCTTTATTTTGAGTCTGTGTGTCTTTGTATGAGAGATGGATTCCTGAATACAGCACACTGATGAGTCTTCACTTTTTATCCAGTTTGCATCTTTTGATGGGGGCGTTTTGGCTGTTTACATTCAATTTTAATACTGTTAGGTTTGAATTTGATCCTGCCATTTTGTTACTGGCTGGTTTTCTTACCTGTTTGTTGACTCAATTTCTTCATTGCATTTTTGGTCTTTGCCATTTGGTGTGCTTTTGCAGTAGCTGGTACTTGTTTCTTTCAATGTTTAGTGTTTTGTTCAGGAGCTCTTGTAAGGCAGGTCTAATGGCAACGAAATCTCTCAGTAATTGCTTGTCTGTAAAGGATTTTATTTCTCCTTCACCTAGGAAGCTTAGTTTGGCTGGATATGAGATTCTGGGTTGAAAGTTCTTTTCTTTAAGGATGTTGAACATTGGTCCCCACTCTCTTCTGTCTTGTAGGGGTTTCTGCCGAGAGATTCACTGTGAGTCTCATGGGCTTCCCTTTGTGGTTGACATGACCTTTCTCTCTTGCTGCCCTTAGCATTTTTTCTCTTCATTTCAACCCTGGTGAATCTGACGATTATGTGCGTTGGGGTTACTCTTCTTGAGGAATATTTTTGTGGAGTTCTCTGTATTTCTTGGATTTGAATGTTGGACTGCCTTGCTAGGCTGGGGAAGTTCTCCTGGATAATGTCCTGGAGCGTGTTTTCCAGCTTGGATTCATTCTCCCTATCATGTTTAGGTACACTGATGAAGCATGGATTAGGTCTTTTCACATAATCCCATATTTCTTGGAGGCTTTCTTCATTTGTTTTTACTCTCTTTTTCTCTTGTCTTGCCTTCTCTTTTTATTTCATTGAATCGATCTTCAATCTCTGATATCCTTTCTTCTGCTTGATCAGTTTGGCCATTAAAACTTGTGTTTCCTTCACATAGTTCTCGTGCTGTTTTTCAACTCCATCAAGTTGTTTATGTTCTTCTCTAAGCTGGTTATTCTAGTTAGCATTTCATCTAACCTTTTTCCAAAGGTTTTTAGTTTCATTGCATTGGGTTAGACCATGTTCCTTTAGCTCAGAAACGTTTGTTATTACCCACCTTTTGAAGCCTGTTTCTGTCACTTCATTGCACTGTTTCTCAGTCATGTTGTGTTCCTGTGTGGATGAGGCGTTGTGATCCGTTGAAGGAAAAGAGGTGTTCTGGTCTTTGATGTTTTCATCTTTTTTGCACTGTTTTTTCCCCATCTTAGTGGATTTACTTGCCTCTGATCTCAGGGAGCTGCTTGATGAGGTCACTTGTCTGTCTTGCGAGACACTGCAAGGTTTCCAGGGACTCCTTGAGGTTACTAGGTAGGCTTCCTTTGTGTTTTTTGTTTGCACTAGGAGGTTAGGCCCGCCTCTTCCACTGACCTTGAGGCGTTGCTGGGTGATCAGGAACACTGTCCCATTGCTATGTAGGCTTCGTGTGTTTTTTGTTAAAACATGAAGCCTAGTCCCACCTCTTTAACGATGGGTTGCGCCTTTCCTCCAGGGAGCTGGATCAGGCAGTGTTCAGCTCAGACTGAAGCACTGGCTGAGTAACCCGCTAGAGTTAGTGCCTCAGCCCTCTGGGGTTTGTGGGAGAGGGTCGGCACCCACCCAGCCCCACCATCCGTCTCCCCACTTTCAGCTCCCTCTCTCTCTGGGCAGGGGGAAGGGGCAGTAGTTCGGTCCACAGGCTCTCCCAGCCGGCTTATGGGCTTACGCGTTTGCTTAGATCTGTGCGACAGTCTGGGACACCGTCTTGTGTTATTATTCAACTCTGTGCTTGTAATTCCAGGCGCAAAGATCCCCTGTTCTGTGTATTGCTGAGGCCTTGGGGGAAGCGCTATATCTGGACCAGGGTGCTGGAGGGGGAGCCTCTGAGTCACTGGTCAGATGCACTTTCTGGGTGAAGCAGCACCCCACCCCACCTTGGTCTGCTCTGACTGGGCTTTGCTCGCTGTTGAACCAGACCTGTTGAAATGCACCTGGTACCTGGTTGGAGCTAGGAGATCTCTGATTTCTGCGTCTCTCACTCCCTGGGTGTTGTGCACCAGAGTTGTGTCTATTGGGCCACCTTGTTCCCTCCCCCACACCTCTACTTTTAAACCTTGTCCGTATTAATTTTTAAAAAATATGTAATTAATCATCCCAGGTAGCTGTAACTACAGAGCTAAATTTTCTGCTCCACAGATACTTCACCTTCTTTGTCTAGATCAGATCTGGTCTTCAGTTCCTATCCTAATACCTTTTGAAACATAGCCTCTGTCTCTTATCCAAATAGTAATAGAGGCTTAAGCATTAGAAGTTGAAATCAGTAGAGGCAACTTTCCACCGATCTTTAAAACATTCTAGCTGTTGTCTAATTAAAGAGAAGACGAGGGATTTAAAAACAACAAAAACCATTATCTCTGGAGCCTCCGGTCCTTATTCTCCACATAGGTCCTTTTTCTTTGTCACCCACAAAAGAACCTTACTATTCCTGTCCTAAAACATACTTCTTTCTTTTCTCTAACTTTTGCTAGTCTCTTCCTACTCTAGAGTATAATCCTAGTTCTTATCCTTTACAAACAGATGAACACAACTAAGAAAAAACATGAAAGTTGTGTTTAAGTAGTTGTCAGTTTTGTATGCGTACAGTAGCACTCTGTATATTGATGACTCTTAAAGGCCATTTTTATCTTACTGGGAAATAGTGTGAGAGCAGCAGCAAAAGGTGTAGAATGATCAGTGAATAGAATGAGGAGACTACTGGAAACCACCTGCAGGAATTCTACTAAAGTGAGCAACAAATAAGGATGGTTCCTGTGAGAAAGATACTGGTAAATGACCGGAACTTTGAAATGGTAGGAGATAGAGAAGTACAGAGATTCTTAATCTTCATTAATTGCTCCTGAAAGTGAAATTATATTTGAGAGTAAAACAAGTTAAATAGAAAGTAATTGAATTTAGTTCAGGGACCATAGAGGGTTAGCCATTATCTAATTAGCAGATTTTTATTGCTGTTTATTATTTCATGGTAGGGAGGTACCACAGTCACTTTAACACTTTTGCTTTGTCTCCTGGAGCAAGAAAAGTCCCTTCTTGGTGTCCAGATTTAACTCTCTGGTCTGTGGGTGTGAAAAACTGATGAAGACCTAATCAGCTAGGGCTACCCTATGAAGATTACAGATGGAGTACTGTGCATCATTCTTAGTGGCCCTGTTTAATTTAACCTAGAACCAAGTTTATCAAGTTGAGTTACCAAGTTTACTCATTAGTTAAAACTAACTAGAGTACTCCTCTAGTTATTTTTCCAAGGTAGAATATCATCATTCTTGTCAATTTCCATCTTTTTTCTTTCCTTTCTGCTTTAACCCAGTGATTATAATGTAAAGATGATAGAATCTCTGGAAAGAAGAGGTAAACATGTCTTCTGTTTGCAGTTTGGTGTTTTTAATTGTGCAGTATGCTAATAAACAAGTTTCTAAAATTTAAATCTGTAGAAATTGTTAATGATTTTTACTTTGTATTTTTCGATATCTCAGCCAACTGTAAATGTTTGTTTAACTGGTGATTTTTTTTCAATTTTTTTGTTGTGCCTTCTTCAGCCTCTCCACAAAGGAGTGTGGATCACAGAAGTACTTCAGCTCCCTCTGCCCCTGTAGGCTTGGCACCAGTTGTCAACGGAGAATCCAGTAGCCTCACATCATCTGTTCCTTATCCTGCTGCTTCTCTAGTCTCTCAGAATGAGAGTGAAAATGAAGGCCATCTCAATCCAACTGAAAAACTCCAGTAAAACATTTTTTTACAATCATTGTTTTCATAGATTAAAATAATAGGGACAAATTCTGTTTTTTTCCTTTGTGTTGAAAATTCTGGCAAAACGGGATTTATTGAATACTGTAAACATTCTTAAGTGATAGGTAAAAGAGGCATGTGTGTGTTTTGTGTGTGCATACAGTTGTCTAAGACGATGTTTTAACACAAGTAATTTCTGTGAACTGCTGTTATCTTTTTGTTTTTCAAATCACAGATCAAAAATAAGACTACAGTTAGAATATTTCTGTATTCAGATCATTTAGAGACCAGCCTGTAGAATCAGCCCTGAGGTTGTATCACACAAGGCTACGTCACCACCTACAAATAACTTAGCTTTACTAAGTCTGTATTTCCTCATCTGCAAAATAGGAATAATATATCTGTTCATAAATATGTTTTCATTAAAAAATGTTGGTATTGCTCTTGGCCCTTAGTATGAACTCAGCAAACTTAATTGTTATTTTTGGTAAACATAATATACACTCTTTAGATCTGATGGGCACACAAATCAAGAACCTTCTATACATGCTCAGTAATGTCTGTATACCTGATTTGCCTGAGAGGTAGTATTTGAGTAGTACTTCATACTTTTGATACCAGAGAAACCTAGAAATATTTTTGACATCAAGTTTTCTGCTGTTAACATTTATACCTGCTTAAAATGAACAATTAAATTGAATTTGGTTTTCTTATGCTTTTCTTCCTGACACAGCATTAAAAAATAAGATGGTGAGATTTCGAGTAAGCCGTACTTGGCTTTAAACTCATTATTTTACAGTCATACCCCCTGGATAGTTCACTAATGGGATATTTCAGTAGGTCTAAATTTTGTTTGTGTTAGCTGCTATTACATGAAAATAATGTCTGCATTATTTTGCTAAAACGGGTGTAAATCTTATACTTTTTGTTTATCAGGAAGTTAAATGAAGTTCGAAAGAGATTAAATGAACTGAGAGAGTTAGTTCACTATTATGAACAAACATCAGACATGATGACAGATGCCGTGAATGAAAACAGGAAAGATGAGGAAACTGAGTCAGAATATGATTCTGAGCATGAAAATTCTGAGCCTGTTACTAACATTCGGTAAGAACTCTTTTTTTGGTGGTTTTCCCAGCATATTCTGACGTAATACTTTTAATATGGGAACAAAAATACTTCATTAGAGCATTCATTGTTAGCCTGTTATATAAACTTTTTTCTTGCAAATCTATTTTGGTCAGTGTAATCATCTTTGCCCTGTGAAGATAAATGATTAGGGAGGTATGGAGTAAAATAGTTCAGTAAATTTGTGTTTGTTAGATCGAATTCAGTTAAATCATGAGATGTGTCTAACTTAGCATTTTCCTGTCTCTTAGTTTTTAGATGTAATTTTCATTTTTTCTTTCTAGGTTTCCCAATAGCGCATATGCAGAAGTTACTGAAAAGCAGGAGTCGATTATTCAATTTGAATTTAAATGGCATAGTCAACAGTGTTCTTAGTTTGGAGTATTTTATTAGCAGTTCTAAAATTTTGATTACCATCTCTTTTTTGTGTGTGCCTTAAATAACTTGAGGCTGTTTTCTTCTAGGAATCCACAAGTAGCTTCCACCTGGAATGAAGTTAATAGTAATAGTAATGCACAATGTGTTTCTAATAATAGAGATGGGAGAGCAGTTAATTCTAATTGTGAAATTAACAACAGATCTGCTGCCAACATAAGGGCTCTAAATGTGCCTCCTTTAGGTATGACTGCATTTACAGATAATTTTGCGGGTTTTCGTTCATATGTGCTCTTAAGTTTATTTTAAAAATTACCGATTTTAATTATACGTGTTTTCGGCAGATTGTCGTTATAATAGAGAAGGGGAAGAGGAGATTCATGTTGCACAAGGTGAAGATGATGAGGAAGAGGAGGAAGAAGCAGAAGAGGAGGGAGTCAGTGGAGCTTCATTATCCAGTCACAGGAGCAGTCTGGTTGATGAGCATCCAGAAGATGCTGAGTTTGAACAGAAGATCAATAGACTTATGGCTGCAAAACAGAAACTTAGACAGTTACAAGATCTTGTTGCTATGGTACAGGTAAATATTGCTTGGTCTTTTAAAAACCTATTTGTGAAATAGTACAGTCTTAAATAAAATTTATGTATGATAATTACTTTGGTATAATTATACTTGTACGCATTATGTGAAGTTTAAGTTTTAAGCACTTTACGTGCTGTACGTCAGGTCACCAACCTTTTTAAATTACGAGCAAATTGGTTGTATAGTTGACTGGTCATACAGTCTCTGTCACAACTTCACAATACAAAAGCAGCCATACATAAATGAGAAAGATTATTTGCCAGTAAGTTTTCTTTTATTATAAGTAATATAGCTGTTTTTATTTACAAAAACAGAAGAGAACATGTTTTGTTGTTTTGCTAATAACTCTGACCTTATGTAGAACTTGCAGCATCTCAATGAGGTAGATATTAAATAGATTGAAGAGGTCTTAATTGACAAAGTTTATATGACTGTCCCAGCCAGCATTCAGACTTCCTGATACCAGAGCCTGAGATCTTAAACCACTTTATGTAAAAGAAAAACCATATGTTATTGTATTCAGTAAGGTTAAAGGTTAATCATAAATGTTTAAAAAGCAATTTGTACATTTTTTGTGTTGACAGTTACACAATTAACTGTAATTGTATAAATATACAATTGTATATTCTTACAGTTGTAAAAATGTAAAAATATACAATTATAGTTATGTAACTGTTAACACAAAATACAAGCTTATAATTGTATAAATACACTGTAATATAGTTAACTACATAACTATTAACACATTTATAAAGGTGTGTATATACATGAATCATATAAAATGGTTTTTGTGAATGAAGGACTAAAGTTTTACCAACAGTTTCTTTTGAAATGCTATGTACTTTGAATTACTCAAGTAAAAGGTGAATGTGCGCTCTCAGTTCAAAAAAACTACATATTATTTATTTGGGACAGGATCTTGCTCTGTCACCCAGGCTGGAGTGCAGTGGCATGATTTTGGCTCACTGAAACCTCCATCTCCTGGGTTCAAGTGATTTTTCTGCCTCAGCCTCCCGAGTAGCTGGGATTACAAGCATACACCACCACACCCGGCTAATTTTTCTATTTTTAATACAGATGGGATTTCACCATGTTGGCCAGGCTGCTCTTGAACACCTGGCTTCAGGCAGTCCACCCACCTTGGCTTCCCAAAGTGCTCAGATTACAGGCAAACAAAGGATATATTACTAGTAAACTCCCTCTTCACCTCAAGTAATAATCCCATTCTTCTTTACCGAAGTCACTAGACCTTCTCTGTGCATTTATGTACAACACTATGAACTTATTTTAAAAAAAATACATGAAGTTTTGTGGTATGTATCTTTGTTTTTACAAACTGTATAATACACTAAGTATTATTTTATAACTTTCCTTTTTTCCTCACTCCACAGTGTCTAGAACTTTTCATGTCACTATATATGGTTCTATATAATTAGAAGTAATTCTGAAACACATGGATAGGATAATTATAAAATATAAATAATACTGCACATATATATATAAAACACATATAGTTATTTTTAGCTGCAGTATAGTTTTCTGTAGTGTCGGTGGACCTTAATTTAGTTAATGTATAATAGCATTTGGTTAATATATACTTGTTTTCAATCTTTCACTATTTAAGAGTGAATTGGTTATATAGTTTGGTCTTTCTGGTCATACAGTGTCTGTTACAACTTGACAATGCAAAAGCAGCCATACGTAATAAATACATAAATAAGAATAATTGTTTTCCAGTATAGTTTTATTATAAGCTGTATAGCTGTTTTTATTTATGAAATGCACTAAAGAACATACTTGCAGAAGCTTCTATGCATTTGTTTGTTAAGAAAGATATGGAGGAGGAGAATATATCAGAATTTGTGTACATTTTAATTTTAAAAGACACAACTTAATTGGTCTCTAGAACAACTATTTTCTAGGGAGCAGTTTTCTATATGTATTTTTTATATGTAATTTGTATTTCTATATGCATTTTTGGTATGTATTCATATTTTTATGTATATTTTAAGCAGTGGTATATTTTTATATTTTATATTTTAAGAAAATATATATATTTTTTATTTTAAGCAGCATTTCCATTTTTACTGGCCTGAAATTATATAATAAAATTTAGAGCCACCATAAGTTATCCAAGGAAAATTATGTATAGAGTTTAAAGAGTCACTGTATGTTGATACACTGTAGCTTATTAACCATATTGGAACTGGCCTTTTCCAAATTTTCCCAATTATAAGAAGAGTTGTTGAGGTGAGATAATTATAGTTAACTACATAAGTATTAGCACATTTATAAAGGTGTGTATCCAAATACAGACTTGTAAACAAATGTATGTTGAACACGTGTAAACATACATACAAACATGCTTTCTTTGCTGCTTTAATTTTTTAATGTAAATTTTACAGACTAGTAGTATTTACTAAGGTGTGAATTGGATAATCTCTTTAGGTAACAGGATTGTTTTAATGTAATGATGCTATTTTAGGATGATGATGCAGCACATGGAGTTATCTCTGCCAATACATCAAATTTGGATGATTTCTACCCAGCAGAAGAAGACACCAAGCAAAACGCAAATAACACTAGAGGAAATGCCAATAAAACACAGAAGGATGCTGGAGTAAATGAAAAGGCAAGGTATGTTAAGCTTTCGGTCTTCATTTAATATAATAAAAATTTATTATCTGTTACGGAGTAGGTACTCAGTTAAGTACTGTGTTATGTTGTGCTTAATGCTTCATCAGATTTTATTGGAGTCCATAACTATAATGTCAATTTAATTGTAGAGAGAAATTTTATGAGGCTAAACTACAGCAGCAACAGAGAGAGCTAAAACAATTGCAAGAAGAAAGAAAGAAACTGATTGACATTCAGGAGAAAATTCAAGCACTGCAAATGGCATGCCCTGACTTACAGGTAATTATGAAATTTATTTCTCTTTGTCTGAAAAAAGATGTTTAGGAACTGATATCAACTGAAAATACTCTTTTTCTAGTATTAAGGTGACAGAATCATATCTGTTAATTCGGTGATTAATGGAGTGGATAAACTAATGAAGAGTTGGGGATATACATTTACAGTGTAAAAGAGAGCACATAGGAATTTGCTCTGATTATTTTTCTTCTTACTGGGCTGGCTGGCCATAGAATCAGAACATGAATACTCGTAACTATTTATTATATTAAAATATTCTGGTTTGACTTTTGCAATTATGGACCAGAATTTCCATCTTTTGCTGGCCTGAAATTACATAATAAACACTGAAGCCACCATAAGTTATCTAAGGAAAATAATTGTATGTAAAGAGTCACTGTATATACTTTTGCTTATTAGTTAGTACCTTATACATGGGTCTTGAGATTGAACAGAAAATAAAACATCTTTGATGATATCAGTTAGTCACATAATAATATGGGAAGGGGATAATTTCTTCTGATATTTTCCCAGAGTTTATTGGCGAGCTTTATCTTCAGTTAGGTTGTGTTTTCAAAGAAAGGAAAACACCTCAAATGTGTTTATCTTCTAGACCCTTGCCTTTCCTACTTTATCCTTTTTTTCTCCTTATATCCTGTCTAAATAATATCCTGTCTAAATAATGTCTAGAGAAATACGTGGGAAAGTTGGGTTGAGTATTCAAAATTTTCCATTGTGTTTTATCCCTGTTGTTTCTGTTGTTCCTGAGGGCTACTGTTTGTCAACCTCAGCTTGTGTTTTCATCCTTGTTTTCTTATTTAAAGTTATCTTTGGATGATGATGGCAATTGGGGTCTGCTAATGACACATTAAATATGGCACTAGAGCCCTACAGAAGAAATAAAGTAACTGCTTTTATGAAATTAATGTAATTGCTTTAATTCCTCATAACTTTTTTTGTACATTCTTTTTTAGCTGTCAGCTGCTAGTGTGGGTAATTGTCCCACTAAGAAATATATGCCAGCTGTTACTTCAACCCCAGCTATAAATCAACACGAGACCAGTACAATCAAATCTGTTTTTGAGCCTGAAGATTCTTCGATAGTAGATAATGAGGTATTGTAGATTGTACTGTATTATTCCTGAGTTAAGTCTTTTTTTTTTCTTCAATAAAGTACATCTTAAGAAAGCAAACTGAATATCCTTGAAACATGTTTTGTGCCTTTTTAGTAGACACAAAAATCTAGTAAATACGGGTTATAATCTGTAGATAATTTAGTAGATTATAATGTAAAAAAGACAATTGTCAGATTTTAAATTTTCTTCTAAAAAGTTATTTTCAAAATATTTACGTTCTTAATATTTGGCAGAAATATATAAGAGGGTAGTTACAGCAAATAGTAATCATTTCAGTTAGAAAGAACTATTCTTTGACATTTTATTTATATGTACTTTGTAGAAAATATAATTTTTTCCAAATAATTTCTGAAGTATATTTGGGTTCTACTTGTTTCTATTAAGAATTAATGGTTGCCTGATTTTTTTCTTATTCATAACTAAATTATCATTTTAACCTTCATGGACATCTTAGTGTGAAAAGGAGAGAATGAAAATAGAAAGCTTTGTTGATAGTGCCAGTATTATTAGCCTGTTACTCTTTAAGGCTACAGCAAATCCAAATATTTACTCACTTCTGGTTTTTTTTTTTTTTTAAATAGTTGTGGTCAGAAATGAGAAGACATGAAATGTTGAGGGAAGAGCTGCGACAGAGAAGAAAGCAGCTTCAAGCTCTGATGGCTGAACATCAGAGGAGGCAAGGTCTGGCTGAAACTGCATCTCCAGTGGCTGTGTCATTAAGAAGTGATGGATCTGAGAACCTATGTACTCCTCAGCAAAGTAGAACGGATAAGTAAGGGAGCTGCATAAATCACCTTTCTAAAAACGTCACCTGCCGAAGACTGCCCTTTAGGCTAGGCAGCCACATTTCTCTTCTACAACACAGCATAAATTTGCTCTTTCAGTGAGGCTACAGTTTAACTACCACCTTTGTGACTCAGTTTAACTGAATCCAGCCACTTTCTGTTCTGACTTCTTGTAGCATCAGCTTTCTCTTTTGTCTTAAATTACCATGGCATTTCATCAAATGGTGATACAGATTTTCTTATGTGTATAAGCCTTATTTTCTTATTTAAGTTTTAAGTTTATAAAAAAGAAAATGCTTGATATTTTGTAGTGTTTTTCTGTCACGTTGGAAAGAAGCACTTTTTTATACTTAAATTGAGTTATCTGCTGAATATAAGGTTACTAAGGATCTTAAAACATTTTATTATAATAACAAATTTAATTTTTAGGATTTCAGTTTAAAATGTTCATGTTTAGAATATTTCTAAAGTGTTGGTCATCTGTAAGATCAGTGAATTACTTAGCTATATAGTAATATCCAGATCTAAAATTTTGAAATCCAGATTTGTTTATGACCTTTCCTTTTGATATCCTCAGATGGTATTTCTGGAATTTTGCACCAAGCCCTACTCTTTCTTCTCAGATGAATTTCTATTCCTTGGAGTCCCAATATGCATTTTATTGATCAGACTATATCTACAATATTTTACTCTGTACTGGGTACTACACGTCTCTTGTTTCACAGAGTTCTTCAGACAGTTTTGATGAGTATCTTGTTTCAGAGCCATTGGTCTTGAGTTTTGTTTTCTAGTATGGCAGCCACTAGATATAGGTGGTAATTTAAACTTAAATAAAAAATTTATTTTTTTAGTCTTACTAGCTACATTTTAAGTGCTCAGTAGCTGTGTGTACCTAGCATCTAATGTGTTGAATAACACAGATGTAGATTATTACCATAATTATAGAAAGTTCTGTTAAACAGCACTGATCTTAAAAACTGTCACTCAAGGAAAAATTAAAAGTAGGTTAGTTTTAGAAAATAGTCCCAGGGGATATGATGATTATTTAAATTTATTTGAAGAATTGTTTTGTGGAAGGCAAACTAAACATATTATACATAACAGTAATAAGGAGAGTACTACCCATAGCATAGTTACTGTGCTTAAGTGAAATTTTATATACAGGCATGTATATTTATGTTTGAAACAACGTCTGGCACATAGTATGTAGCTTATCTCCAGAATGACACATGTTTTATGTCTCTTACTAGAACAATGGCAACTTGGGGAGGATCTACACAATGTGCACTAGATGAAGAAGGAGATGAAGACGGTTACCTTTCTGAAGGAATTGTTCGGACAGATGAAGAGGAGGAAGAAGAGCAAGATGCCAGTTCTAATGATAACTTTTCTGTATATCCTTCTAACAGTATGAATCATAACTCCTACAATGGAAAGGAAACTAAAAATAGGTTAGTTTCAGTATTTTAATTTTGTGCTTAATTTTAAGAGGTTTACGTCTTTTTAACCTAAAGCAAGCACTTCTGCAATTCTCCAAGTCAACTGAGTGTCCTGTTGTTCAATTGAGAGTTAATGCAGACCCCACAAGTTAAAGGGCTCTGTTTGGTAAGACTGCTCTTATTTCAGACTTCAAGTGCTTAGTTCCCAGGTTACCCACACTTCTATCCAATGTGGCTCGAAATTTGGGAGTTCCTACAGTAAATCCTTTGGATTTATTTGCTAGAACAACTCACAAAATACAGGAAAACACTTGTGTTTACCTGTTGCTTACAAAGGATTCTGAACAGCCAAATGGAAGAGGTGCGTTAAGTCAAGGTATGGGTTGGTGAGGTGTGCAGAGCTTCCATGTTTTCTCTGTGTGCCCCGCCCTCTCCAGCACTTTGTTGTGTTCATTGACCCAGAAGCTGCTTGAACCTGTTTAAGAGTTTTTAGGAAATTTCATTGCTTAGGCGTAATTAATGGAATTGCTGGCTGCTGGTGACTGGTCCAGTTAGCATAAATCCAGGTCTGGTTGAAAGCGGCTTGTTATGCATAACAAAAGACTGTCACTCGGAAGACCCCAAGGGTTTTAGGAACTCTTGTGTTAGGAACCAGGGACAAAGAACAGATAGATAATTTATTACACTAGAAGAATGTTGTTGCAGTAGATCCATCTAAACTGGATCAATCTGCACTCCTGCTTTTGAGAATTAAGCAAAAATAACAAATTGTAGATAGTGAAAAAAGCCTGTTAACAAATATATTTGTTATTACACTGTTAGTAACAGTGAAAATTTTTTCGAATAAATGATGGTAAAGTAGATAAAGTAGTTCCCCTTGATGAAATGCTAAGTGGTTGAACTTAAAGCATGAAGAATGGAAAAGTACTTGTGACATAATAACTACTTTTATTTTGCAGATTAATTATATGGATTCTTTTGTGTAAAAACTTAAATGAAAAAGTGGAAAGTAATGAAAACTGATAATTGTACAAAACTAAAGATCTGAACTTTCTCCCCTCTCTATATTTTTTAATACTTTATATGTTCTTTGAATTTAAAAGTGAACATTGCCCCATAGCCAGAGTATCAGAGTTTATTGCTGTATTTTAAAGACCAAATTGTTATGTATGATGACTTAATGCTTTCAATCTTGTGTTAGGTGGAAGAACAATTGCCCTTTTTCAGCAGATGAAAATTATCGTACTTTAGCCAAGACAAGGCAACAGAATATCAGCATGCAACGGCAAGAAAACCTTCGTTGGGTGTCAGAGCTCTCTTATGTAGAAGAGAAAGAACAATGGCAAGAACAAATCAATCAGCTAAAGAAACAGCTTGATTTTAGTGTAAATATTTGTCAGACTTTGATGCAAGACCAGCAGGTAAAATTTGCTATGAAATACATTTGGCTTCTATTTTTATAACTTTTGAAGCAATACAACTTTTTCTCAAGTCATCAGTAACTTAACAGAAACTTTCTTTCAATAGACTCTGTCTTGTCTGCTACAAACTCTTCTCACGGGTCCTTACAGTGTTATGCCCAGCAATGTTGCATCTCCTCAAGTACACTTGATAATGCATCAGTTGAACCAGTGCTATACTCAGCTAACATGGCAACAGAATAATGTTCAGAGGTAATCTGTTTCTTAGAAGTATTGAGACTGTAGAATAGCTAACATTGAGCAAAGGTTTTACTGTTAGCTTCTGGGAGAAAAGAGCAAGAACCAAATTGCATATTTGGACATTATCTATCTCTTGAGAATTTTATAAGTGGTGGTTTGCCTAATGTTCTTTTTTAATACCTTGGATTTCTGTTTTTATAAATTTATGTTACTAAATTTTACATTTACTTGGTGAATTTTATGGTGTGTAAATTGTACCACAGTGAAGCCATAAACAAAACAATGAGTTTCTTACAGTTACACTGACTGTTGGACAGAAGTACTAAGCTCAGTTCTTGTTAAAGAGGCAAAGTTACTGAATTAAACCTATAAAGCAAGCAAATATTTGCTGTAGTATCAGAACAGTTTGCATGCTTTTGAATCATTTTTTACATATATTCTTTCTGAATGTACTTTATATGTATGGTGATATAACTGATTTTTAGATTATTTACTTAAATTTTTGTAGGTTGAAACAAATGCTAAATGAACTTATGCACCAACAAAATCAGCATCCAGAAAAACCTGGAAGCAAGGAAAGAGGCAGTAGTGCATCGCACCCTCCTTCCAGTTTATTTTGTCCTTTCAGCTTTCCAGCACAGCCTGTAAATCTCTTCACTATACCTGGATTTGCTAACTTTTCATCATTTGCACCAGGTAGGTGACTTATCCTAAAGAGAAAATAAAGTGTTTGAGAACATAATTTGTCTATTGCATAGATGTTTTAACATTTTCTTTTGGAATGGGGTAGGAAATTTTTGCAAAGAAAGTTACAAAGTCTTTTCTACATTGTTTCTTTTTTCTTTTTTCTTTTTTTTTTTTTTTTGAGATGGTGTTTCATTCTTAAGCCCAGGCTGGAGTGTAATGTCACCATCTTGGCTCACCACAACCTCTGCCTCCCAGGTTCAAGTGATTCTCCTGTCTCAGCCTTCCAAGTAGCTGGGATTACAGGTATGCGCCGCCATGCCTGGCTAATATTCTATTTTTTTAGTAGAGACGTTTCACCATGTTGGTCAGGCTGGTCTTGAACTCCTGACCTCTGGTGATCCGCCCACCTCAGCTCCCAGAGTGGCAATTACAGGCATGAGCCTCTGTGCCCAGCCTGCATTGTTTTTTTCTAAACCAAACTTTAGTAATAGGGTTGCTAATGAAATTTAGTGAACTACTTAGGAATGATTGCTTCAATTTATTTGTTTTTTAAGAGGAGAGAGAATTAACCTGTTCAGTAGCTGCTGTATACCAGGTACTGTATACACACTGGGAGAGTATAGATGAATAAGACAGTGCTCTTCGGGAGGAGTATCATGTCTTCTTAGGGAGATACTGATAGACTAAAGGTGAGCACATTTAGCTTAGGCTTTTCTTTGGATGTTTTTTTCCTGCACTCATTATGTACCAGACACTATGTAAGTTACTGGGATCCAAAGATGAGTAGCACTGATCCTTTTAAGGAATTCAGGGTGTAGTGAGGATGCTATTAATGAATGCTTAGAGTGCAGTGCCATGGGTGCCATAACAGGGGTGCAAATGCTGGGGAGTGTCAGTAAATCAGTCCCCCCTGCAAAAAAAAGATGATATTTAAGCTCAAAAATGAATAGAATTTGTTTCCAGAGAAGTTAGAAATGAAAGGGCTTTCTAATCAGTAGACCCACTTAGTATAAAGCAATGAAATATTATATCACTCAGGGAATTTAGAGATATTTAAGGGTGGCTAGTATTTGGGGGAAGAGTAATTGATGTGGCTGAAGAGTGGCGGAGGCATTTGGTGATGTGCAAAGAAGCTCAGGTTTTATATTGCAGACAGGAAGGGGCCGTTGAAGGACTTAGAGCAAGGGATAACCTGAAATTTATCTTTTACAAAGATTACACTGGTAAAAGTGTTTAGAAGTTGGAGGAAAGGACTGGAGGATCTAGCTGGTGAATAGAAGGCTGTCATAGTAGTATCATCAAAAGAATGATAGCCTGACCTTAGGCCTTATCAGTAGGGGTCAAGAAAATCCATTTTCAGGACAGTGTGGCATAAAAAATTTAACAGGCTTTTTAGTTCTTGAGCATCAGTTAATATTGGCAGCAAATGTTAGTAGTAAGAAATTGCAAATGCTCTTCCTTTTTACTAAAAGATACTTAGTACCCATACCAACTCTATGTGAAGGCCTTTATATTCTTCATAAACAGTTCAATTTTTGTGAAACCTTCCCAATCTCTAATTCCCCATGTTGTTAGTAGCCTCTTGTAAATACCTCTGATACATAACACTATTTGATATTTATATTCCACTTTCCCAGTGAAAATAGTAGAAACAACATAAGCTTATGAGCCATACAGACCCGAGATCTAACCAGCTTTTTCATTTATTAGACATTTGATCTCTAGCCCTATTTTCTCACTGGTAAAATGAATAAAATATCTGTTTTATAACATTTTAAGTATTAAACCAAATAACATGTAAAGTGCCTGCAGTAGAGTGTGGCACCCAGTAATAGTTTAGTAAATGTCAGATACTAGTATTTCTAACTTTTAGCTCTTAAGGGAGTGGGGATTATTAGTTGTCTTTGACCGGTGCCTAAAACATAGTGGGCTGGGTAAATAGTGATTGGATAAATCAGAGTTAGCTTTTTTTTTTTTTAATTCAGCAATTTTTTGTTTTGGTGGATTTGAATGGACATTTAATTAAAACTTTTAATTTTATTTTAAGGCTAAAAACGTTTCTTTATTTTTCTCTTACTACTTTACTGATTAGGTATGAATTTCAGCCCTTTATTTCCTTCTAATTTCGGAGATTTTTCTCAGAATATCTCTACACCTAGTGAACAGCAGCAACCCTTAGCACAGAATTCTTCAGGAAAAACGGAATATATGGCTTTTCCAAAACCTTTTGAAAGCAGTTCCTCTATTGGAGCAGAAAAACCAAGGTACCTGATTGTAAATATAATCTGTTATTGCTTAAACATTCACTTTTGTGATTACATCTAACTATATGTAATTTGAAAACACAACTATGAAGTATGTTTCTGATTATTTGGCTTGATAATGTTGGAAATATGAAACTTTGACATATGACTAGATGACATACTGGATTCTTGCTGGTAACCCTGGTACACAAAAAGTTCAGTTTGGAAGGATGTGGCATAACTCATAGGATCTCTGATTTGATACCTGTCTTTAAGGTTAAACCAGTTTGCTGTTCACTGATTTAGGACTAGAAACTATTATTAACTGCTAGAAGATAGTTGTTAAATGATGGTCCCTTTTTTTGATTCCTAGCCCTTGATTAGAATCACTTCCTAAAACCTATTCAGATATAATGTTGAGTACTTTTAGGTTATAAAAACAACTTTTGCCTCATAAGTTTTGAGGATGCAGGGTATTAACCATAGGATTTCTTTTTCCTCATTGTTTCTTACAATTATTATTTTTAATGCTATAATCTTCTGAAACACAATTTTTGACTCAATGTGAAAGATTGGCTCAGTTGAGCTTAATCTGTCAGGTGTGTCTCCATTGTCTTTCCTCCTCCTTAAAAATATCTATAATTCACATTATAGTTCTCTTAGCTATGTGGTTAGGAATGTCTCAGGGTCTTATATTAACATTTTCACACTGCTAAGTCAGGAACTGGGATTATTTTTTTTTTTTACTTGATTAACCAATAACTCTGAGAATTAAAACTTTGTATTCATCACTAGAAATCCTATGATTAATATCCCTTACTTTGCTGACTCCTTTTTTTTAAGTTGTTCTGGTTTTTCCTGTTCAATCTCATGTTGCTTTATAAAAATATTCTATTGTCAGAAGTCTAACACAGTGTTAGTGCACAGGTGCCATTCAGAAATGATGGTTGGATGAATATCCATCACAAGCACTAAGCATTTATTCAAAGCTTCAGTGAATAGGCCTTCCTACCAGAATGAAGTAGGCCTTCCTACTTCATTATTTTCCATGTTTTATATATAATTGATAGTAAAAAATTACTCTGATTTTAAATGAGGTATTTGTGTCATTTTTAGGATGGATCTGAATGTCTAATATTATTTTAGATATTTGGCCTACTTCAGATTAGACCTCATTTCCCCAAATCCTCAAGTGTTGTAATCTCATGGAATTAAATGACTAGAGATAAGAAGTCAGATAAAATCCTATAGTCTTACTCAGGGGTCAGCAAACTTTTCCTGTAAAAGTCTAGGTAGTATTTTAGTCCTTGCTGGTCCATAGTGTTTATCATAGCCATTCCTCTGTGACAGTTTTACACAAAAGCAACCACAGACTACTGTTATGTTAACATGAGTATTGCCGTGTTCTCCAATACCACTTTTTTATGGTCACTGAAATTTTTTTTCATATAATTTTCATTTGTCACAAACTTTTTAAATTTTCTCTTCCAACTAAGAATATAAAAGCCATTCTTAGCTCTTAGGCCATACAAAAACAGGCAGCAGGCTAAATTTGGCTTTTAAGTTATAGGTTTCTAACCCTTGTATTGAGTTAAATCCTATAGGTCACTGTCTCCTAGACTATTCTTAGGAGCAGTCTTGTTCCTGCTAAGTTTTGTGACAAAGTTTTGGACTTCTTGCTCACTCTCAAGAGATTATAAAGCACATTGGTAAATTAAAAGTTCTGAGATATTTTACAGACCTGTTTAACTTTGTTTTATGTGTTTTCTCCCCACCGTAGATGACTAATAAGTACCTATTAATAGATGCTAGTGTTCAGCAGATAAAATTTGGGAAATGACGTAGACTAATAGAACTATGGACTTGAGCGGAGAAATAAATTACTTGTTGAGTGATCAATTGTTTTCACCAAATTCTCATTCTACTTGAACTGCTTTAGGTGAACACAAATACATGGATGTTCCCAAGCCTTCTCCTATAGCTCTTTCTGAGCTGTTCTTCCAGCTTTTGTTCTTCTGTATCCCATCCGTCCTTGATTTTTCTTTTTGTTGTTGTTTTCTAGGGACAGAGTCTCACTTTGTTACCCAGGCAGGAGTCCAGTTGGCATGATCATAGCTGGCTGCCTTTTTGCATTCCTGGGCTCAAGGGATCCTCCTGCTTCAGTCTTCCGGGTAGCTAGGACTGGAGGCATGTGCCACTGTGCCTGGCTTATTTTAAAAATTTTTTGTTGTGATGGGGTTTTGCCATGTTGCCCAGGCTGGTCTTGAACTCCTGGGCTCAAGCAATCCTCCCTCCTTGGTCTTCCAAAATGCCAAAGTTACAGGCATGAGCCACCACACCTGGCCTGATTTTTGTTTTCCGCTGTTTTCCATTGTGAAAGCTAGATCTTTGATGTGGAACTTTTGCCAGTTAAAGTGGTTTAGTGAGATGGGTCCAGAATTAAAACTAATTTAGTACCTTAGCTTATGTGATATTTGCATATTTAATGTGTATTTTTGTGAAAACTTTTATAGCCTTTAAATTTCTTATTTGGCAATTTTATTCACCTAAATCTACTCAAGAGTAGTCTATAAATTAAGTATATTTGGAGTTTTCTTAAAGAAATCTGTAATTGTTACTTATAAAAACTTGTTTTCATTGGTAAGGAATAAAAAACTGCCCGAAGAGGAGGTGGACAGCAGTAGGACACCATGGTTATATGACCAAGAAGGTGAAGTACAGAAACCGTTTATCAAGACTGGATTTGCAGTGTCTGTAGATAAAGCTACAAATAGTAACCGCAACAATCAATCAGATACAAACGGGAGAAGATGCCAGTTTGATGAAGAATCATTGGAAAGCTTTAGCAGTATGCCTGATCCAGTTGATCCAACAACAGTGAGTAAAACATTCAAGACAAGAAAAGCATCTGCACAGGCAAGCCTGGCATCTAAAGATAGAACTCCCAAGTCAAAAAGTAAGAAGAGGAATTCTACTCAGCTGAAAAGCAGAGTTAAAAACATAAGTAAGTATTGAAATTTGTTGAATTTCAGCCTAACGTTGGTAATATTACTCTGACATGTTGACATATATATAGTTTCAGTAAGCCTAGATGGGCAGGTGCTTTTCTAGACTTCACTGACAGTCATTTTTAATTACATATATATATATATATATATATATATATATAATATTTGAAATAGGGTTTAATTTTCTGGATTAATGTTTTTGAATATCATATAGATAAAACCAGTTTTAACGCAGGCTGGCTTTAGTCCTTCTGAAACTAAACTCATACTTTACTCAATCTTGCCATTGAGTATCGTATGAAAGTTTTTTAAAAAAAGTTTTAAAAAAAATTTAAGTTTTCTTTATGGTGTTAGCTGCATACTTCTTAAAAAATAGATTTTCTCTGATTTTTGAATTTTTACTGAGGTGTACTAGGTTAAAAAAATCTACAGTGTTACAGCTGAAGGATATTCTTTTCATGCTTGCAAAGGATGGGCTCTGGCCTTGAAAGGTGGTTCTGAGTTTAAGGAGATAATATTTTGTGCTTAAGGCCAGGCAGGGTGGCTCATGCCTGTGATCCTAGCACTTTGGGAGGCTGTGGTGGGTGGATCACCTGAGGTCAGGAGTTTGAGACCAGCCTGGCCAACATGGCGAAACCCCATCTCTACTAAAAATATAAAAATTAGCTGGGCGTGGTGGCACGCACCTATAATTCCAGCTACTCAGGAAGCTGAGACACAAGAATCGCTTGAATTTGGGAGGTAGAAGTTGCAGTGAGCCAAGATCATGCACTGTACTCTAGCCTGGGTGACAGAGTAAAAAAACGAAAAAAAGGTGGTGTTTAAGAACAAAGTATTCTAGGCGTATAATCAGTAAAGTTTGAAATAGCATTGCACACTGCTAACTCCCTTTCTTGGAAGTTCACAACACATACATAGTAAAGGCCCTGAGAAATCCTGCAGTAAAAAAATACACTTGTAAACTTTGGCAACACTCATCTTATTCACTTTTGGATAATGAAAACCACAGATATAAAAGAGAATGTTTGCACATTTTAAGAAATTTCAGTAATTTGTCTATCCTTGAAGTCGTTGGCTCCTACCTTGAATCCCATGTGAAGAATCTGACTGATGGTTTAAAAAGCAAATTTGTACAGGAGTGACAGGTGACATTTTTCTTAGCATACACATTATCAGCCTTGAAGTAATTTTCTGGTTGTAAAGGTTTAGGAGGAACTGATTTATTTAGTAAATTAATTGGTAATTTGAAGTTGTTGAAAGTTACTGTGCTTTTCCAAGATTACTCTTGGTGCTACCAGAGAACATTTAAGTAGATAATGGCCATTTTGAGACCGGCCCTTTAGACAACTCAGAACTTTCTATTTCCTGGTGCCTTACACCCACAAAGATGCTCTTTGTCATATAAATAAACGAAGAAAAGCTAACCTTTTAAAATAAAAGCATTGTCTCATTCAAATAGTTAATTTAAATCTGCCAGGGCAATACTTCTTAAACTTGTAGGAATCCAGTGAAGTGCAGATTCTGATTCATTTGGGTTAGGGAGGGACATGAGAATCTGCCTTCCAATACAGTTAGGTATTGCCAGTATTGGTCTGTGGACTGCACTTCGAGTAGCAGATTTTAGAGGAACCTTAGCTAATTTTTGGCTTTGTTCACCTAACTGTAGAAGTATTGGTATGTTTGTATTTTTCTGAAACCCCTTTAAGGCAAAGACTGGCCTTCTGATCTTTGTGCTGTCTTCCTTCATATTGAAGGATAAAAACACCTGCTGGAAATGTATATTCACATTTACTCAACAGGCATTCAAGACCACCTGGTGGTGAGAGCCCCACTTTAAGGCACACACACAAACATAATAGGCTTGATAGCAGAATCAGACTATACATAGTAGAGCCAAAGTAATTTGTGGTAAAATCAAACTAGCTAAATCACTGCTATTCAAAATCTGAACTGTGGACAGGCAGCATTACATCATCTGGGTGCTTATTAGAAATGCAGGCTTTTGGACCTCACTTTATGCCTACTAAATCAGTATGTATTTTTCTTCAGTATGCATTTTAACAAGATTTTTTTATATGAAGGAAGTGTTTTGATATGAAGATACGCACATGAAAGTCTGAAAAGTACTGAGCTAGACCATTGGCTTAGGTTGTTTTGCTCCTTTTGTGCTATAGGAATAGTCAAGATTTTTTTAGAAAAAAGGATTTTTACTATATCGTTCTTTTGTTTTTGAGACAGAGTTTCACTCTTTTTGTTCAGGCTGGAGTGCAATGACAAGGTCTTGGCGCACTGCAACCTCCACCTCCCGGGTTCAAGCGATTCTCCTGCCTTAGCCTTCTGAGTAGGTGGGATTACAGGGAGATGCCACAATGCCCAGCTAATTTTGTATTTTTAGTAGGGATGGGGTTTCTCCATGTTGGTTGAGGCTGATCTCAAACTCCTGACCTCGGGTGATCTCCCCATGTCAGCCTCCCAAAGTGTTGTAATTACAGGCGTGAGCCACTACAAACGGCTGATTTTTTTTTTATTGTATCTTGAAGTGCTGCATAGAGCCGGGTGAGGAAAAGTTTGGAAAGCCTGTCAGATTATTGTAACGATAAGAAAAGTGTAGTGTTGGGTACAAGCATGATGAGAGGAATTGGTAACAGATACGACAAATATTTCAGCTAGTGGGAATTATATTCCTGTCTTCAGAAATATAGTACAGCCAGTTACACTGTCCCAAACTTATATAGATTGATTCCTAGATATGTGTGTTTGTGTGTGTGTGTGTGTGTGTGCATGTTGGCAGTCTTTCAGAAGTAGCTTGATAAATCTCATTTAATTTTGTTTCGGTAATGTGTTTTAATCCTTAGAAGGTCTTTGTATGTGAAAATACATGTTGCATGTGAGGTAAGAATTTATAAATTATGTAGTATCTTTTAAACTTGAGATTAGACTTAGACCTTATGAGTTGAAGGTAATGTCCTACCTGAGTTTTTGTGTTAACCAACCTATAATTTTGTTAAACTATACTCGTCAGATATTATTAGAGAGTAGGAACCTAGATTTTTGTCAGTCTTTCCTTGGAAAATTGGATAAAACTGTTAAGGTGCTGACTTCTGGGTTCTCACCATCCTTGCATCTTTATTTCTTCCTTCCTCCCTTTCCTGTTGCTCACTGATGAACATGGACATTGAAATAGATGTCAAACATTAGGCAAGGCAAGACCTAACAGAGTTGTCTGGTAAACAACCAATAAACTTTTTGTCTTTAGAGAGTTATTAATTACTTAGAGAAAAGAAGAGTAGTCCAAGGTGCCATTTCTCTGTGTCCCTTGTCTCACACTTAGAAAGAAGGACACCGAAATAAAAGGGGCTGGCTAACAATTATTCCTTGAATGGTGAGACACTCTGTTGCTGAAGAATCAATGCTATACTGCAGCTAAGCCTGTTCTTAGACTTAAGATGTACCTTCGAAGGGTGAGGAAGAAAGGTCTCATGTTTCATTAGAACCTGACAGGAGATGGGAAACTTTCCTGACAGAATCATCCCGGGGTGAGAGGGAGGTGAGTGGAAAATGTCCATCCACATAGCACCTTCTCCCAAGCCTCTCTTGTCCATATTCCAGGGTGATTCCATGGCCTTCTGCCAAGACAGCTTCCACTGTTATTTAGACCTTAACCTCTCTGTACTGTTGGGATATGTGCAAGGTCTCTAGGGTGCCAGGGCTGAACTGTTTCCCTTCAGTGGAGGCCCAAATAGAAGTACTGTTTCTTCTATTCATGCCAGCCCCTCAGGCTGAGAAAAACAATGAGAATAAGGGGAAGAGTGGTGAAGTGTCATAGAAGATAACACCCTTAATCTCTTACCTGTTGCTCTCAGTAATGAGCATCATCGTTACTCTTGCTATTGTTAGACTTTCTGGCCTAACCAGTGTTACTCAGAAGTATTATTCACCTTCATTAATTCTGCTCTTCCTAAATGATTACTATCAAGATGCTGAAGAGAGAAACAATTCAGTCACACATTAGTATCTTAACTTTGGAAATCCAGCCTTTGATGCTTTTAATTTGGGACTCATTTGTAACACCATAGTTTTTTTCTCTTTTCATAGCCTTCTAATAATTACAGCATGCTTCTCTTCACAGTTTCAGCTGTTTTAGAGGGTGACTGTATGTATGCTTTTTTATAGTACCTATTGGGACTCCCCATTGAGAATTTCGTATATGCCACATTACCAGTATTTTAATTTTGATTAAAATTTATTTAGCACCTTTCATCTGATACAGTAACAGCAGTTAAATGTTTAATTTCACTTATATAAATGTTCATGTTAGAATAACATACTCAAATTTTTTTCCTTTAGATCGTTGTATGTTACTAAATTAACAACAGTACTACCAGTCATGTCATTTTACATACTACTTTGAGCACTCATACCCTTTATAGCTGGACTGGTTTTATATTGAGATCAATAACAATCAAGAGGGCTCTTTTTCAGTAAATTTCATGCAGGCTGGGTGGCAGTGACTAAACTTTAGGCTGAGAGACCAGTGAAAGCACCTGGAACCTAAGTTTGAGCTGATAAAGTCCTTGGAAACAGAGAGGGAGGGTTGACTCCAGATGGTTTATCACAGATAATAAATTGATAACATTTTGGGAAATTGTTTGTTATTAGTAGAGCAGCTACGGTGATCCAGAAGTTGCAAGCAAGCAAGGCTTTAGGAAAGTCTGCTGGCTCTTTCCTAGAGTGTCAGGAGCATGGTCAGAGCTCCATGATTTTTGGAGAAAGCTATATTGGAAGAGATCCATTCATTTCCTCTTATTGTTGACCTTGACCGTTCACCCCAAGAGTAGCAGTCTTTTGCTACTTCAAGCTACTAGTTGGCAGAAGGGTTATTGAATAAGTAGGTGGCAGTCTTACCCCGTATGTGGGAAAGCATTAGTCTTTGCAGCTGAGGAGACTAAGCAGAAGAGAAGCTTCTTCTCATTGTCTTGATGAGGGACTGGCAACTTCCTAGGGAGAAGGTTGCTTAACCACAGGAATGAACTTCCATGCACTCTTATCTTGCCATCATTAAAGCTATTCAGCATTTGAGTCCAGCCTTAAGAGAAGGTGAGAGTCATGACTAGACCAGTGAATATAACAGTGCATATAAAAGGGACCTAATTACCAGAGAGAAAACAGAAGCAGACTACTAGAACAGGCAAAACCTAGTGAAAATAGAATTATTGAACAAATACACTTGAACAAAAAAGGGCACATAAGCAGACTGAATTATAACAAAATCTTTAGAGCCAGAAAAAATTGACCTTCATTTTTAATATGTAGATTATTTGAAAAAGAGGACATGTGCTATAAAGTTCCAAATTACTGGCCTAGAAAATCAAGGGGAAGAATTACGTCATTAAATGGAATGAAAGTACTAACAGATAAAATCAAGAGAAAATGCCGGGTGTGGTGGCTCAAGCCTGTAATCCCAGCACTTTGGGAGGCCGAGGCGGGTAGATCACGAGATCAAGAGATCGAGACCATCCTGGTCAACATGGTGAAACCCTGTCTCTACTAAAAAGACAAAAAATTAGCTGGGCATGGTGGCAATTGCCTGTAATCCCAGCTACTCAGGAAGCTGAGGCAGGAGAATTGCCTGAACCCAGGAGATGGAGGTTGTGGTGAGCTGAGATCGCGCCATTGCACTCCAGCCTGGGTAACGAGAGCGAAACTCTGTCTCAAAAAGAAAAAAAAAAAAAAATCAAGAGAAAATGATGAGAGGCTTACAGGAAGTTCCAAAGTAGGGGAAAAAACAGGTAAATAAGCAATAATTAAAATAATAGGTGGGATAAACAGAGACTTGAGACTGCAGATCAAAACAGCTGACTGTTGTTATCTAGCCAGCAGAGAAGTGAGGGAAACACAAACACCTATCCGTATTCTGGTAAAGACCCTGAATTCCAAGGAAAAAGTAAAAATCTTCTAAGCTTCCACATGAAGGAACAATTTGCAGACAAAGAAAAAGAAGAAAACTGACACCAGGTAATCTTCCTTATCACACAAGTAGTAGTTGAAAAAAGTGGGATGATGCTCACACAGTTGACAAAGAACTGCAACTCAAGAATTTTGTACCCAGCCAAGGGACCCTCCACATGTCAGAATGAAAAGGAGACACTAGCTTATCCTATCTGAGGAAAACTAAAGAACAACCTATGACTCAGAATAGAGGCCTTTATACAGGGGAAGATACAGAGGAGAGAGAAGAGTTTAATAAAGAAAACAGTAGATCAGTCTCTCACTAATATAAATTCAAAAGTAAAAATACTAGCAAATTGAATCTGCCAGTGAATCAAAAGAATTTTAGACTATCATCACTAGAGTTTATTTCAGACATGTAATGATTTGTTACAAGGAAATCTGTCAACAGAATTTATTCTATCAAAAGGACAAAAGTCACAATCATAATAGCAGTAGATTAGATAAAATTTGAAACTATTTTCAAGAAAATTCAAAGTAAAATGGGTATAAGAAGGCAGTTATGCCTGTAATCCCAGCACTATGGGAGGGCAAGGCAGGCGAATTGCCTGAGCCTAGTAGACAGAGGTTGCAGTGAGCCAAGATTGTGTCACTGTACTTGGGCTTCGACAACAGGGTGAGACCCAGTCTCAAAAAAAAAAGGGGCAGTTATTTAAGTCTAATAAAGACTGTTAGCCAGTGTCAATCACAAACACCTGAAAACACTCCAGGGCTATTCCTGTCTAAGTTAGGAACTAAACAGGAATTCCTTCTCTACCACCATCATTATTTACCATTATTTTGGAAGCATTATTTCAAATAATTGGAATTAAAATATTGGAAGAGAAAGGAAACAAATGTTACATTTTGTCTAATGGCATTTTTGAATACTAAGAGCTCAAGAAACACTGGAAAGTAGCTACTAGAGTTACAAGGTAAACTGTTAACGTGGCTGGTTATGGAGTAAGTGTGTCAGTATTTTTCTGTTGTAGTAATATCCAGTAGCATGGAAGTGGAGAGGAATGCTTTTATAGTAGTAGTACCCAAAGTGTTTTGAGTTGGCAGGGCGGTCAAATGTAAGGAATAAATTTAACAAGGAAAGTGCTAGGTCTATAAAAAGCTATAAAGAATTTTTGAAGAACATCAAAAAAGATTGAACAAATATAAAAACATAACCATGTTCTTTAAGATGGAAAAGATGGAAATGCATAAGATTAGTAAATACCAGTTCTCCTCAGATTAATACATACTTTTAATTGGATTCCATTTTGAGTCCTCAGGGATTATTTTTAAAATTGAAAAACAACAATAACAAAAAAACCTCAAAGCTTATGTGGAAGGACAGATGCTTCCTTCTGTCCTTCCACATAAGGAAGGACAGAATAGACAAGAAAAAAGTGAACTAGGTAGGACTTGACTTAGCAGATGTTTGATCATACTTTATAACTTCTGTTTCTAAACGAATGAAAATGGCATTGGAATAGCTAAATTGAACAGATAAAGTGTCCAAAAATAAAACCCCAAATACTGGAATTTAATATATTGACTGCGTATATTTTAATTCTGTGGAAATAGCTTAGGTATAATCATTATCCATATAGGAAAAAAAAAAAAAAGGAATCCCCACCTTGTATCACATATATACCAAAATAAATATTTTTAAAACTTAGGAGGAAAATGTCATAGGATATATGTATAACCTATGGGTTGGTAAGACCTTTTAAACCAAGTCACGTCACATAAAAGATAAGAAAGGCAAACATATTTGACTACTTTCTTTCTATTATGAATGTTTGTATATGTCAGATAGGATTCTTAGGTTTCCTAGTATTAAAAATTGCTAACTTGGAATTCTAGTAGAAATTTGAAGTCATATCAGGGCCACCGTATAGTTACAATTGGAGTATACTCATTAAGATGAGTGAGTATCAAAGGAAGGTTAGAAGTTATTACTGTTACCCCGTGCTTCCAAAGGATATTACAAAGAGATCTCCAAGACATACTTATGTTTTGTATGTAATTTATACTAGGCCTTCCTAGCATTCTAAATTGAGTTACCTGTACTGTTTCACTATGGAAACTGATTTCCCTTTAAGTTTGAGTTAGTTGCAACTGATAACAGTTGTCACTTTTTTTACTCAAGGGTATGAAAGTGCCAGTATGTCTAGCACATGTGAACCTTGCAAAACTAGGAACAGACATTCAGCCCAGACTGAAGAGCCTGTTCAAGCAAAAGTATTCAGCAGAAAGAATCATGAACAACTGGAAAAAATAATAAAATGTAATAGGTCTACAGAAATATCTTCAGGTATGTTCTTTTTTGGTTTGCATTAATATAAGGAGGTCTTCAGCTTAGATTTGAAGAGCTATAATAAAATAGGTTTTAAAATTGGTGTATCACATTTCTATCATGTGGACGGTTTTATAGTGGAGATTATGGTGTGCATTCCTTGATATTGGGAAATATAAACTGAAAATATTTTTTGTTATACTATTTAATAGTTATGGACACATTTTAATAAAATTCTTTCTAAACAAACAAAGGATAGTTACAGTTGTGGAACTCTTTTCAAATTCTGAAAATCTTATCTGAATAAGCATTAGATATGAAATCATGTCATCCTCTGCTTCGATCCTTTGGCTCACTGTGCCTACAGGATAAAGTCTGGATGCCTTCATGGACTGTATATGGCCATCTGGGATTTGGTTCCTTCCTGCCCTTCCAGACATTTCTCACCACCTTCTGCCTTGAAATTTATTCTTTCTATGGCACTGAACTTAGCTGTGACACTCTTTCTCACCTCAGTAGCTATTTTTTCTACCTCACGTCCTTACTGCCTTTTTTGTAAGCTCATTTCTTTGCTGGACTCTTAATAAAATTTTAATTCTGGAACTGTGAAACTCCATTCTAATCCAAGCTGGATGGTTTCCCCTTCCTCCTTTTTGTTTTCCTTGTAGCTTGTCTAAACCTATTTTGTAGCCTTAATCACATTAATAAAGTATTTACTTAAGTGTCACTCTTTTGAGTCCCTTGGCAGCAGATCATACTTTCTTGTATTTGTATGTTAAATGTCAGCATAATACCTGACACATGGTAGGCGCTGTGTTTAGGGAATCAAAGTCATCTGTCTTTGCCACCATTCTAATTTAAATAAGCACCAGTAGTTTACTGATTTGTAAAGAATATCTCAAAGAAATATGGAGAGAGAGAGAGAGGCAGTAAATAAAAGCTCATAATCTTAGTTGTCAAGGCCCTTGTTTAAATAGCAGCTATCACTTCTATCATGCTTCATTATTTTCAAATTTCCAGCAAATCTCATTTGAGCCTCATAATGCAGAGTTGGTTTTATTTCTGTTTTTCAGAGGGAACATGGTCAAAGAGGGTACTTTTTTTTCCCCCAGCACTCATAAAGGCTCAGTAATATAAACTGGTACATCTTTTCTGGAAAGCTTCAGAAGCCATGCCCTTAAGCCGGTAATTGTACATATAGGAATCCATCCTAAGGAAACAAAAGGGAGAAAAAAAAAATGAAGATTTAGCATTGTCTCAACAGTATGATTTCAACTATATAGAAACAAAAATTTGAAAAATGCTTGTAAGAAAATGCATCAAAATGTTAATAGTGATTTTATCATCTTTAAACTCATTTCTAATAAGCATTTATCATTTTGTAATCAGAAAAGAAACCTCACATTTTTTTGCATTTTGAAATGGATTTTTCAAGCTCATATTACTAGGAAATGGTAAAGCTGAACTTAGAATCCTGGGCTTCTGTTAGTCTATGTTCCTTTCTGCAAAAACATCAATCCTGTTCTCAACCTAGAATTTTACTAAAATTTTATAATTTTCATCTCCTTTTACTGTCTTTACCAAATAGTGATATCTTAAAAAAATAAACAGTCAGAGGTTGAAGAAGGACACTAAACTGAAAGTCTTAATACACTGAGTATCAATTACTTAATAATTGGACATAGTATTTCAGGCCTTATTACTGTTACTTAGAAAAATATGACTGAATTTTCGTGAGTTAAAAATATTTGAATAGTGCCGGACGCGGTGGCTCAAGCCTGTAATCCCAGCACTTTGGGAGGCCGAGGCAGGTGGATCACAAAGTCAAGAGATCGAGACCATCCTGGTCAACATGGTGAAACCCTGTCTCTACTAAAAAATACAAAAAAAAATAAAAAAATAAAAAAAATTAGCTGGGCATGGTGGCGCTTGCCTGTAATCCTAGCTACTCAGGAGGCTGAGGCAGAATTGCCTGAACCCAGGAGGCGGAGGTTGTGGTGAGCCGAGATCGCACCATTGCACTCCAACCTCGGAAACAAGAGCGAAACTCTGTCTCAAAAAAAAAAAAAAATTTGAATAGTATAAATATACACGAGTTTACATATTTAGATTCTGAAAAATTTTTTTTTTATTTTGAGATGGAGTCTGGCTCTGTTGTCCAGGTTGGGGTGCAGTGGCACAATCTAGGTTCATTGATACCTCCGACTCCCAAGTTCAGGTGATTCTCCTGCCTCAGCCTCCCGAGTAGCTAGGACTGCAGGCATATGCCACCACACCCAGCTAATTTTTTGTATTTTTAGTAGGGTTGGGGTTTCACAATGTTAGCTAGGATAGTCTTGATCTCCTGACCTCTTGATCCACCCGCCTTGGCCTCCCAAAGTGCTGGGATTACAGGTGTGAGCCACTGTGCCCGGCTCTGAAAATACTTATTTTTAATTATTACTCTAAAATTCTTTATAGCATAATAAAGCATGTTAGTTTTTTTAAACTCTATTCATAATATATGATTACTAGAGTATAGCATATATGACTGCTAGTATTAAATTATGCAGTCCTCTTCTCCCTTGTGTGTTGTGGGAGGTTCACGTTAATGTGATTGCTTCTAAAAATGAATGATAGAAGTTTATTATGATAGTTATTATCAGTTGCATTAACATATGTTCATAGCAAACCTTTTGAGATTTTTTTTTTTTTCTTGAGATTATTTTTAAGTAAAACATAAGCCATACCTGCCTTGTGGTAACATTTAGTTCAGGCAAACAAATTTAAAGAAATTTGCTTATTTCTTTTTTTTCATTCATTTATTCATATTATAGACCCTGTCTTTACTACTCATACACATTTTATGTTCATCCTTATGTCTGCCCTTTCCTACAGCACATGCTAGGAGAATACTACAGCAGTCTAACAGAAATGCATGCAATGAAGCGCCAGGTAACAATCTGCGTAGTTTTGGTGTCCACTTTCTGTTAATTTTTTTCCCATTGGTCCTAAAATTCTCAGTTTTATTGTTCTGATTTTTTTCTTTTTTAGATTTAGCTTAGAGTATACATGTAATGTGACTATTGTTAAAGCTAATTTACATTCATAAGATGTGAATATAAATATTCTGAAGCCTTTCAAATATAATTCTTGGTAAAATTGGCTGCTTTTGTTTTCATTTTCTGTTAGTCTATGTAACCTAACCAACACATTCATAAGAATAATAAACCTTTTTCATGATTTAATACTTGATTGGAGGTTATTTTGTGCTTTTTAAAATGCTTAAAAGCATTAATATTTCTTATAACTAGAAATATAGTTACTTTTATAGTTTATTTTTTCCTTTTTAGTCAACATCTTAGAAAAGTTAAATCATCAAACAAAACAACTATTAAATGCAAAGGCTATAGTAAATAAAGATCATGGAAATTACAAAGATTCCAAAATACTACTTTAGTCTCTAATACAAATATTCTCATTAAACATGATTCTGTATGACAGTATTTAAGTTGAAAGTTTGCGTATCAAATTTTTACCTGGATTTTTTTCCCATTAGTAGGGATTTCTTTCAGAGATAGTTTTGCCTCCTGCTTATTATGTGTCATTTTTGTAATAGTTCATATTTTAAAACTAAGAAGTTTAGTGTGTCACTTCATTTTATACCTGTAACTGAGGCAAAATAGGGAAGTTGCATGTTTATTGTTATATGTAATTAATATATTTTTCTATTAATAATCTAATACTAGTAATGCTATTTTATGCTTGTAGAAATTGAGACCTGAAGATATTAAATTATTAGCTAATTGGTGGGAAGTTTTTCTATTAGAGCATACTCTTTTTGCATTTTCTTATTCCACCTCACAAAAATGAATTAAATCTTTATAATCTTGTATACTCAATTGAAAGCACAATATATTAAAATACTCAACGTTTTAAATTTCTTTCTTAGGTACTTATCACTCACTGATTTTTGCAGGACTTAGAATATTTTACAAGCCATTTGTGGTTCTACTGTTGATCTACAGTTTACAGAATTTGGTAGCTAGAACTACTTGGAGATTTTTATTCCATAGAAAACTCAAAATAGGAACAGTTCCTAATTTGCCTGAATTAAGAGTTTCCTAATGTTCCTAAATTAAGGTTATGACTGTATACCTTTGAGTGTGGTAATTTTGTGTCATGAACAAGTAAATATAGAGAATTGTAGCTAAATAATTGAGTGATGCCTAGATTCTATGAAACTGAACACTTCAGTTGGGTCATTTGCTTGCTCCTGTATACACTGAGTATGTAAATAAGACACTATGGTGAAAGTGACTTCTTATGTTAGGTTACAAATTTGGTTACTCATCAGCACAGGACTTTTCTGTGTGATATATAAGGTTTGAGAATTAGTAGACCAAAATGGATAGACCTTAATCTAGTAGCTGTCATTGGCAGCAGTTTATTCTTTTTTACATTAACAAAATATTAAACTTGCTTTTCTGTAATGAAGTTCATATTTGCAAAACCAAGCAAGAAAATTATTAACACTTAGCTTATTTCTAAGTGTTAAAAGATTTTCACTGATTTTTCCCATAAAATGTTTAATATTTTCTGTATATTATGCTCAGAAATAAACATGGTTCTTTGTAATGCTAGGTAATGTTAGGCATTAAAATTTTATTTTTAGTATAAAATGCATATCTTGATATCTTAAGATTTTCTCTTGGTAATTTTAAGCTTCTTTTCTTCTTTAAAAGCCCTGAAATAGAATTGTGTAAAATAGAATTTTTAATTAAAGCTGAGAGTAACGATGCTAGCTAATAAAAGTTGTCATGAAGATATTTCATCAGTATTAACTTTCTGGTCTTTTATATATTCCAGAAACTGGGAGTGATTTTTCCATGTTTGAAGCTTTGCGCGATACTATTTATTCTGAAGTAGCCACATTAATTTCTCAAAATGAATCTCGTCCACATTTTCTTATTGAACTCTTCCATGAGCTTCAGCTACTTAATACAGACTACTTGAGACAGAGGGCTTTATATGCATTGCAGGTATCTGGTACCTAACATCGTTTTTCCTACCCTATTATCACCTCCTTCATGATTACGTCTGGTTGTTTTCTTAGACTGAAGCACGTACCATGTGAATTTGATCTGTTCTCTGTGTGCTTTCTTGACATTTTATTTAAAATTTTTGTATAGCTTAAGTAGCGTTACTTTTTTTTTGAGTACTTTTTCAGTGTTTTATCTACTTCTTCCTCACACTTGGGAGGGTAGAAATACTAAATTTGTCCTTCCATCTGATTTTACTTTTAAATTTGTAACATAAATGTATGATTAAGCATATATGTTTTATATAAATAATGATCTTATTTTCTTATTTAGGATATAGTATCCAGACATATTTCTGAGAGCCATGGAAAAGGAGACAATGTAAAGTCAGTAAACTCTGGTACTTGGATAGCATCAAACTCAGAACTTACTCCCAGTGAGAGCCTTGCTACTACTGATGATGTAAGCTGATAATGATTAGTGAAATGTAGACATAATTTTGGTATGCATTAAATAAAAGTTAAATAGGTTATTGTCAAATTGTAGGTAGACCTAATGTATTTGATTTTTAAGCTTTTTGGAAAGCTGGGTAAAATGTGTTATTTTATTTGGAGGGCAAGATATAGTATGCAATCAAAATATGGTAGCAAACACCAAAAATTACATATGTATGATAGATTATGAGTGCTAAAATAGCCATACTTATGTCATTATTACCCAATATAGGGGCTGACTCTTAAAAGACATTTACAAATGTATTTTGTATTTATTTAAGACATTCAGTAAACCAGGCAGCAGTCAAATTACAGTAAAAGCTCTTGAATGAATAAATACAGGATAAATCAGGTCTTTGGATTAAAATAAAAAAGCATAGACGAAGTCTTCCAGGAAAAAAGAAATGTAATTTACTGCTTTCTAATTGATGGAGAAAATTTTGAACAGAGTAAAAAGGACCTGGAAGTGGAGAAGAGTGCTGAGGAGAATGATATAAATTCAGTAAGCTGTGTCCTCCAAATAGCACTTAGCTTATTGCTGATTGAATAACTGTGACAAAACTGCTGTGATACCGAAGAGATAATGTGCTTGCATGGTGTTTGGGAATCACCTATTTAAAGGTTCAGAACTTGATTTTATTGTAAAATATTGTATGTCATCATGGGATACACTCCCGCAACCACATACAGCAAATACATTCTTTTTTTAATCACAACTCTAGCACCTGGAGATCCATAGGTAAGAGTTTCATAAATCAGCAAATATCGGCTATAGGTAGAGAGTTGGAAGTTATGCTTTCTCCCTTTTGTTGAAGTGTTAATACAAAGTTTTTTCTGAAGCAAGTTTTCTCAAAGGATTGTCTTGCCTCTTCAGATACAGCAATTGTCTTAAAACTACTAAGTTTTTCTGAATTTTTGCTCTTTAACTTCTACTCATGTTTAAAACAGTACTTCCCCAACTCATCTTTTCTGTTTAAAATGTTTTCCCAGTGGACTCTTGACTCCTTTAGTACTATAACATAAATCTGTGTCTAAAAATTACATGGTTTAAATTCACTTTTTAATGTGAAATGTAAATTAGTATAACTGTTTGCTCTTTTGGATTGTTACAACTAATTAAAAATTGTGTATTTCTTTATATGGGAAATGAAATGCGATCTGCTCCAATACATAAAAAATAGATGATGTTAAATGATATTAAGGCTTATTGGGCATAGAAATAACTTGAGAAAGAATGAACAGTGTCCATTCCTAGACTTCTTTTTCAGTAATTTTATATCCTTAATTTCAGTGCTTTAACTTTTATTCCAGTTTCATACAGGCAACATTACTTCCATTTATTTTAAGATATTTGAGCACATTGGTCTGCACCATCGATAGCACATTTTGAAAGTTGAGCTACAATTTAGGATAAAGTTAACCTGAGAAGGTTTTAAAGTTAAATGAAATTTAAAGATGCTGTACTACTTGATAAGTAAGGACTTGGGATAGTAATTGTATTTAATATTACTTTTAATTAAGTAACTAAATCAATTCTTCGATATTTCTTTTTTTTTTTTTTTTTTTTTTGTAGACGGAGTTTCGCTCTTGTTACCCAGGCTGGAGTGCAATGGCGCGATCTCGGCTCACCGCAACCTCCGCCTCCTGGGTTCAGGCAATTCTCCTGCCTCAGCCTCCTGAGTAGCTGGGATTACAGGCACGCGCCACCATGCCCAGCTAATTTTCTGTATTTTTAGTAGAGACGGGGTTTCACCACGTTGACCAGGATGGTCTCGATCTCCTGACCTCATGATCCACCCGCCTCAGCCTCCCAAAGTGCTGGGATTACAGGCTTGAGCCACCGCGCCCGGCCAATTCTTCGATATTTCTTATACAACTTAAATTCAGCATTAAGGTCAACATCTTTCCTTTACTAATGCCATTTAATCAGCAGCACCACAACATCCAGTGTTCATACTTACCGATCAGAAGTAGCACTGTCCAGTAGAACTTTCTACAGGGATGGAATTGTTTTATGTCTGTATTGTCTAATACAGTCGCCATTAGCCACATGGGGCTGGCTAGTACTTGAAGTATATTTATTGTGACTGAGGAACTAAGTTTTAAATTTTATTTAATTAGCATGTGGTTAGTGGTTTTTATATTGGATGGATTTAGAGCCTCATTCTCTAGATGCTTCTAGGCCACGGTCCTTTGAACTCCGTTTATGGAGCTTTTACAAACATTTTAAGATATGGAAGAGATACATATCTTGCCCAGAGAAGGGAGAAATGAAAGTGAAACGAGGCATCTGAGAATTATAAGTCAGAGAGGATGGTATGGAGACATTGAGGTTTAGGAAGAGGAAAAAGCACTTTGTGTCTTCTCCTGATAATAATAAAATGGTAAAAGCACATCTGTCCTCATGTCTTACTTGAAGGAGCAAAAAATGGTTTCCCTATTTCTAAAATACGTTCCCTAATGCCCAGATTTCCTTTAACCAGGGACAACCTTTGATTTCAACACTGTAGATAGAAAACTTTAAAAAGATCAGTAGTTAAGGGAAAGAACACAACTTTAAAATGTCATAATCAAAATATAAGTGAGACGCTCTACCATCATCACACTATACACAAAATTAATTTGAAATAACTTGAAGTCCTGTAAAAGCCAAAACTATTTAAACTTTTAAAAGAAAATGGGAGGAAATTATGACCTTGAAATAGGCCAAGTTTTCTTAAGACACACAAAGCACTGATATAAAAGAAAAAATAAATTAGACTTCACAAAAATAGGAGTTTTCTGCTTTTCATAAGATACTGTCAGGGGAAAATAATCCTAGTATATATATCTGACAGATGTCTAATATCTAGACTATAAAAGCAAATCTTACAACTCAGTTGTAAACAACTCAGTAAAAAATGGGCAAGAGATTTGAACAGGCACTTAAAGAAGATATATGAATGGCTAGTATGCAAGTTAAAGCCACAGAAAATACCACCACGTCGCATCGAGAATGGCTAAAATGAAAAGATTGACAGTGAGAAGTGTTGGTGAGAATGTGGAACAGCTGGAGCTCTCTCAGTCCTTACGGGAATGTAAAATTGTACAATCACTTTGGAAAGCAGTTTGGCGGTTTCTTATAAATGTAAACGTGGCATATGACCCAGCAATTTCTCTTCTAGGTATTCATCCAAGAGAAATGAATGTACGCGTCACAAAAACACTTGTACGTTAATGTTCATAGCATCTGTAGTCATGGTAGTCCCAAACTGAAGCACCAACAGATAAATGGATAAACTGTGTTATATCCATACAGTGGAATACTATGCAGCCATTGAAAATAAAGGAGCTTCTGAAACACTACCTGGATTCATTTTAGAAACATACTAAGTGAAAGAAGCCAGACAATGAAGAGTGTATACTGGCTGATTCCATTTATATGAAGTTCTACAACCAGCAGAACTGATCTACAGTGATGGAAATCATGAGTAGGGTATGGTGGTGATTGACTGTAGAGGGGTGTGAAGAAACATCCTGGGCCAAAGGAAATGGTCTTTGTCTTCAGCGAGTATGGTTATGTGAGGGTATACATTTGTCAAAACTCAACTGTACATTTAAAATGAGTGTACTTTATATAAATTATATTTTAATAAAGTTAATTTTTTAAAAATGTGAATGTGATTTTTTTTTCCTGTGAGACGACCATTAAGAGTAAAGTAAGGTACTAGACACTGTCAGTGTTTGGAGATAGGAGAATGTCCCTGAGTGTATAGAAATAATTTAAAATGTTAACTTTGCCAAATTAGAATTTTGTCAGTAGCTGGCTCTGTGTATGTTTATCTACATAATCACAGATACTCTGCAAGACTACTTATATTAGTGTTCTCTGTGACTCTGTATTCAACCTTTAATGACTTTGGTTGTATTATGTTGTTTGCATGGAATACTGAGGAAACTTAGGACTTTCTTTTAGGTGTACAATTTAATGCAAATATTTAGTTATCTCTGTTAGATTCTTAATATGAAAATCTTAACAGAAGTATTAGTGATTTTTGTGTTTGTTTGTTTTACTGTAACTTAGGAAACTTTTGAGAAGAACTTTGAAAGAGAAACACATAAAATAAGTGAGCATAATGATGCTGATAATGCTAGTGTGCTGTCTGTATCATCAAATTTTGAGCCTTTTGCAACAGATGATCTAGGTAAGCAGGATTTTTTATAATCTTAGAAATGACTTTAAGTTGATCTGGTCCAGTCTTCGACTTGTATTGATAAGGAAACAAATGTCTAGGAAGGCGAAGTGTGTGTGGTTGAAAGAACGTGGACTTAATTTATGAGTCAAAATTCAACAGTCTTCTGTTAACCCTGTGGGCAAACTGTCTAACATTTCTGACTCTCTTCATATGATAAAGAAATGGGAATCTTACCTATCTTGCTATGTTCTTGTGAAAATACAATGGAATTTACTTGCACGAGTTTAGAAAATGTTAATTTCCTTTTCCTTAGATGAAAGGTCATCCTTTAAAGTTATTTAGTTAATTAATGGAAACAATTCAGGCCTAATCATATTTTCAATAAAAATGTTAACTTTGTAATTTGAGGTAAGCAGTCAAATTTCTTAGGATAAATAATCTGTAGTGAAACCTCAAGTAACTCTAAGGTCTTAGCGCATGGCTTTTTTTTCCCCTCCCATCAGCTATAAAAAGCGGTTTAGAGGGTTGCCTAACCCCAAAGGAGCAAAACTCTAGTCCTGGACTTGGAAAGGAAATTTAAGGAAAAGAAATATATATAGATACTTGATACATTTTCTAGGCTGTGGCCAATCAAAAGATACCTGGGAATTCAATCATTCTGCCATCCAGGGCACTTAGTTGATAAAATAATGTAATTTCTGTTACTCTAGTGTTCACATGATGAGGAGAAGATTTAGATTATTTCAAAGGTTTTTTTTTTTTTTTTTACTATAAAGAAAAGGGCCTAGCTTTGCCCTGTCATTACATTTCTACTGTTCACCAAAACAAAAGTCTTCCTTTTGCTTATTTTAATTATTGAGGACTCTGAGCCTTAGCTGCCCTCTAAATGCTTATTTGGGTCTGCACTAAGTTCATCCTATTAGAGAGAAAATCTGTGTGGCCAACCCTCTTCCCTTAGGTTGTCCCTCCATTTCTGATTTGCCAGAATGCTTTGACTCCTATGTATTTTCTTTCATTTACTGATTTTTTTTTTCTTACAACCTTGTACCACTGCTGTGTCTGAAGTAAAACATAGAATTCGGAAACTTCATTGACAGGCCTTTTTCTTACCTTATTTGTGTATGTTAGGTTGGATTGTTCTCATCAGAATTTTCTCTGTATTATTTAAATGAAACAACATAATGTAGTGAAATAAATATGGGCTTCAGAATTCGAGACCAAAGTTTAAATCCCCATTCCTCCATTTAACTGTGAAACCTTGAGCAAGTTGTTTAAGTTTTCTGAAAATGAAAATACTGTCACCTACTTTACAGGATTATTTTAAAGATTAAATAAGTGTGATAATGTGTATGAAATACCCAACTAGTATAGTGTCTAGAACTTGTTAAAGCTAACTCTCCTTCCTTTTGTTTGAACTTTTTTATTAATGAATTTTGAGGAATAAATGAAAAAGTCCACTTTTACATACTCTAAAAATATATTTGTTCCAAATGTAGGTAACACCGTGATTCACTTAGATCAAGCATTAGCCAGAATGAGGGAATATGAGCGTATGAAGACTGAGGCTGAAAGTAACTCAAATATGAGATGCAACTGCAGGATTATTGAGGATGAAGATGGTGCTGGTGCAAGTACTACAGTTAATAATTTAGAAGGTATATGTTTTTGTTTGTTTTTAGTAGGTTTTGGGGGAACAGGTAGTGTTTGCTTACAAGAGTAAGTTCTTTAGCGGTGGTTTCTGAGATTTTGGTGGACAGGTCATCTGAGCAGTATACACTGCACCTAGTATGTAGTCTTTTATCCCTCACCCTTTTCCCACCCTTCCTCCTGAAACCCCAGAGTCCACTGTATCCTGCTTACGCCTTTGCGTCCTCATCGCTTAGCTCCCACTTAGGAGTGAGAACATGCTATGTTTGATTTTCCATTTCTGAATTACTTCACTTAGATTACTGGTCTCCAGCTCCATCCAGGTTGCTGTGAATGCCATTATTTTGTTCTTTTTTATGGCTACGTTAATATGCTACGGTATATAAATATACACACACACACACTTAATAAACTTGTTGATTGATGGGCATTGGGGCTAGTTCCATATTTTGCAGCTGGAGATTGTGCTGTTATAAAGATGCATGTGCAAGTGTCTTTTTCATATAATAACTTCTTTTTTGGGCAGAAACCCAGTAGTGGGATTGCTGAATAAAATGGTAGATCTGCTTTTACTTGTTTCAGGAATCTTCATACTGGTTTCCATAGTGGTTGTACTAGTTTCCATGCCTACCAGCAGTGTAAAAGTGTTCCTTTTTTACCTCATCCACACTAATGTCTGTTATTTTTTGATTTTTAAATTATGCCCATTCTAAGAGTAATATGGTATCACATTATGGTTTGTGCTTTGATTTGCATTTCCCTGATACTTAGTAATGTTGAACATTTTTTCATATGTTTCTTGGCCATTTGTATATCTTCTTTTGAGGATTGTCTGCTTACGTTCTTAGGCTACATCATCATCTTTTTTTATTTTTATTTTATTTTTTTAATTTGAAGCATAGTCTTGCTCTGTTGCCCAGGCTGGAGTGCAGTAGCTCCATCTCAGCTCACTGTATCCTCTGCCTCCCAGACTCAAGTGATTCTCGTGCCTCAGCCTCCCAAGTAGCTGGGATTATAGGCATGTGCCACCATGCCCAGCTAATTTTTGTATTTTTTGTAAAGATGGGATTTCACCATATTGACCAGGCTGGTCTTGAACTCCTGGTCTCAAGTGATCCACCCACATTACCCTCTCAAAGTGCTGGGATTACAGGTGTGAGCCACTATGCCTGACCTTAGCCCACTTTTGATAGGATTATTTGTTTTTTTGCGGATTTGTTTGAGTTCCTTGTAGATTCTGGGCATTAGTCCTTTGTCAGATACATAGTTTACAAAAATTTTCTCACACTCTGTGGTAGTCGGTTTACTCTGATGATTATTTCTTTTGCTAACAAAAACTTTTTTATTTTAAGTTCCATCTGTTTGTTTTTGTTCCGTTTTCTTTTGGGTTCTTGGTCATGAAGTCTTTGCCTAGGCCAGGATCTAGAAGAGTTTTTCCAATGTTATCTTCTACTAGAATTTTTGTGGTTTCAGATCTTAGATTTAGAAGGTATATTTTTTATTGATTAGAAGTAATCATAATTCTGTATAAATCTTTATGTGACATCTAATAATGGTTTTATTAATACTTTAATTGATAAGATGTTTGTATTATGTTAGCATAAAATCATCAGAATTTAATATTCTTTAAAATTCAACATAAAGGCATATTTATATATATGAATGATAGGCTTTGTTATGCTAATGTATCATTTTCTTTTTAAAAAATAGAAACTCCCATTATTGAAAATCATAGTTCACAACAACCTGTAAGTGAAGTTTCTACCATCCCATGTCCTAGAATTGATACTCAGCAGCTGGACCGGCAAATTAAAGCAATTATGAAAGAAGTCATTCCTTTTTTGAAGGTAAGCAATTATTTTTAAAAATTAAAAAAACTTCGTTTTGTTTTTTAATTCATACAGAAGACCTATTATAATAAAGTTCAACAGTATAGGTAAGTAAAAGAAAAAAAAACTTAAATATCATTCCTAATTTTTTCACCCTGCTAACATTTTGCTTGCCTTACCAACATTCTGTGAACCTTTCTGTACAGTTTCATACACGTGCATATTTTGCTTTTTTCATTTACTATACCATAAACTTATTTCTAGATTATTATTTTTCTACTGCATTTCTTCAGGATTTATTACCCTTATTATTTTATTTTTAATTTTTGTGAATATATTAGGTGTATGTATTTATGGGGTACATGAAATACTTTGATATAGGCCTGCAGTATGTAATAATAACATGGTAAATGGGGTGTCCATCCCCTCAAGAATTTAACCTTTGTGTTACAATCCAATTATACTCTTTTACTTATTTTAAAATATATAATTATTATTGACTGTAGTCACCCTGTTGTGCTGTCAAATACCAGACCTTACTCTTTTTTTTTTTTTTTTTTTTGAGATGGAATATTGTTCTGTCAGCACCCAGGTTGGAGTGCAGTGGTGCCATCTCAGGTCACTGCAACCTCCACCTCCCGGTTCAAGTGATTCTCTGGAAACAGCCTCTCAAGTAGCAGAGATTATAGTCCCCTGCCACCACACCCAGCTAATTTTTGTATTTTTCTTTTTAGTAGAGATGGAGTTTTATCATGTTGGCCAGGCTGGTCTCGAACTTCTTATCTTCGGTGATTTGCCCACTTCGGCCTCCCAAAGTACTGGGATTATAGGTGTGAGCTACTGCACCTGGCATTACTCATCCTTTCTAACTACTGTTTGTACCCATTAACCATCTCCACTACCCCCTACTACCTTTCACAGCCTCTGGTAACCATCCTTGTATACTTTATCTCCATGAGTTAAATTATTACAATTTTTAGCTCCCACAAATATGTGAGAACAGGAAGTTTGTCTTTCTGTGCCTGGCTAACTTCACGTAGCATAATGACCTCCAGTTCCATCCATGTTTTTGTAGATGACAAGAGCTCATTCATTTTTATGGCTAAATAGTACTCCATTGTGTATATGTACCACATTTTCTTCATTTATTCATCTGTTGATGGACATTTAGGTTGCTTCCAAATCTTGGCTGTTGTGAACAGTACTGCAACAAACATGGCTGTGCAGATACTCCTTTAATATACTGATTTCCTTTATATATCCAGCAGTGGGATTGCTGGATCATGTAGTGACTTTTGCTCTACTTTTTGATTTTTTTTTTTTTACTTTTTGATTTTTGAAGAACTTCCAAACTGTTCTCCATAGAGGTTGTACTAATTTACATTCTCACCAGCAGTGCATGAGAGTTCCCTTTCTCTACATTCTTGCCAGCATTTGTTACTGTGTTTTGGATAAGTACCGTTTTAACAGGGGTGAGATGATGTCTCATTGTAGTTTTGATTTGCATTTGTGATTATGTTGAGCACCTTTTATATGCCTGTTTGCCATTCCTACGTCTTCTTTTGGGAAATGTGTATATAGATCTTTTGTACATTTTTAAATTGGATTATTAGATTTTTTTTCCTATAGAGTTGTTTGAACTCCTTATATATCCTGGTTATTAATTTCTTGTCAGATGGATGGTTTGCAAATATTTTCTCTCATTCTGTGTGTTGTCTCTTCATTTTATGTTAGTTTGTTTCTTTTGCTGTTCAGAAGGTTTTTAACTTGATGTGATCCCACTTGTCTACTTTTGCTTTGGTTGCCAGTGTTTTTGGGATATTACTCAAGAATTATTTTTGCCCAGACAAGTGTCTTGGAGAGTTGCCCTGACAAGTGTCTTGGAGAGTTGCCCCAATGTTTTCATGTCTTAGTTTCATAGTTGTAGGTCTTAGATTTATGTCTTTAATCCATTTTTATTTTATTTTTGTATATGGTGAGAGAGAGAGGTCTAGTTTTATTTTTCTGCATGTGGATATCCAGTTATTCCAACACCATTTGTTGTGAAGAGACTGTCTTTTCGCCAGTGTATGTTCATGGCACCTTTGTTGGAAATGAGTTCATTGTAAGTGTGTATATTTGTTTCTGGGTTCTCTAGTCTGTGCTTTGTGTCTGCTGTTTTTATGCGAGTATCATGTTGTTTTGGTTACTATAGCTCTGTAGTATAATTGAAGTCAGGTAACATGATCCTTCCAGTTTAGCTCATTTGGCTCACGATAGCCTTGGCTATTCTGAGCTTTTTTGTGGTTCCATATAAATTTTAGGATTTTTTTCTATTTTTCTGTAGAATGTCATTGGTATTTTGATCACAGTTGCATTGAATCTAAGATTGCTTTGGAGAGTACAGACATTTTAACAATATTGATTCTTCCAGTCCGTGAACATGTAATATCTTTCCATTTTACGTCTTTTTAAATTTCTTTCATCAGTGTTTCAGTTTTCATTGTAGGGATCTTTCACGTATTTGGTTAATTCTTAGGTATTTAATTTTAATTTAATTTTATTTGTGTCTTGTAAATGAGATTACCATTGGCATGTAGAAATGCTACAGATTTTAGTGTGTTGACTTTGTATCCTGCAACTTTATTGAATTTGTTGGTAAGTTTTTGGTTTTTTTTTTTTAAGACATTGTCTTGCTCTGTTTATTAAATTTATCTGAATATAGAATTCTGAATTCCCAGCTAGGCGCAGTGGCTAACACCTGTAATCTCAGCACTTTGGGAGGCCAAGGCAGGTGGATCAGTTGAGGTCAGTAGTTCGAGACCAGCCTGGCCAACATGGTGAAACCCTCTCTCTACTAAGAAATGCAAAAGAAAATTAGTTAGACCTGGTGGCGTGCTCCTATAATGACAGCCACTTGGGAGGCTGAGGCAGGAGAATCACTTGAACCCAGTGTTTGAGGTTGCATTGAGCTGAGATTGTGCCAGTGTGCTCCAGTCTGGGTGACAGAACAAGACTGCAAAAAACAAACAAACAAAAAAACCTGAATTCCCGTCATATGTTATCTTGCATTTCTTTGAGTTTCCTCAAAACAGCTATTTTGAATTCTCTGTCTGAAAGGTCACATATCTGTTTCTCCTGAAATGGTCCCTGGTGCGTCATTTGGTCCCTTTGTTGAGATGGTGATTTCCTATATGGTCTTGATGCTTGTGGATGTTTGTTGGTATCTGGGCATTGAAGAATTAGATATTTCTTGTAGGCCTCACAGTCTGGACTTGTTTGTGCCTATTCTTGGGAAAGCTTTCCAGGTATTCAAACAGACTTGGGCCCCAAGCCCAAAAATGCTGTGGTTTTTGCACACTCACAGAGGTACCATCTTGGTGATCTTAGATAAGATCCAGAAGAATTATCTGGATTACCAGACAGACAGACTTGTTCTCTTTCTTTGCTTTCTCCCAAACAAATGAATCTCTGTGCTGAAATGCTGGCGATGGGGTGATGGAAGCACCCCTGTGGTAGCCACCACTGGGGCTATGCTGAGTCAGACCTAAAGCCAGCACAGCACTGGCAGTTGCCGAAGACATGCTGTAATTACTACCTGGCTACCACCTGAATTCACTCAAGGCCCTAGGGCTCCTACCATTAGAAGATGGGAAGCTAGCCACGTTTATCTTTCCCTTTAGGACAGTGAGTTCCTTTAGGCTCTTATTGGGTCCACAGATAATCTTGAGCTAGGGATTGGAAACACAAACCTTAGAAATCTACCTAGTGTTCTGTCCTACTGTGGCTAAGCAGGCCTTTAAACCTCAAAACAAAGTCCTTCTCACTCTTCCCTCCACTTCCCACAGGCAGAGGAGCCTGTCTCTGCGGCCACTACCACCAACACTGGCCCCATAGTCTACTAACATTCACTTAAAGCCCAAGGCCTTTTAATCAGCTTGTGGTTAATGTTGCCAGGCCTGGTATTCACCCCCTTCAGGGCAGTGGGCTTTCCTCTGGCCCAAGGAAGATCCAGAAATGCTGTCCAGGAGCCAGGTTCTTGAATTGCGGATCTCAAGAGCCTGCTAGGTGCTCTATCCCACTGTGACTGCATCGATACCTAAGGTGTAAGTCAAAGTCCCCTTTTTTCTCAAGCAGAAGGAATCTTTCACCATAGCCACCACAGCTCAGTATATTTTAGGTCTCACCTGAAGCTGGGACATCTCAGAGTGTCGCCCATGGCATACCACATGGTTATCCCTGTTGATTCTGTTGGTTATTCAGGGCCCAAGGGCTCTTTTATCAGCAGATGATTAATCCTTCCAGGACTGGGTCCTTCCCTTTAAGGCAGTGGGTTTCCTTCTGGCCCAGAATATGTCTAAAAATGTCATCTGGAAGCTAGGGCCTGGAATGGAGACCTCACAACTCTGTCTGGTGCCCTATCTTGTTGTGGCTGTGGCTGAGCTCATATCTAAGATGCAAAACAAAGTACTTTTTACTGTTTGCTCTCCTCAAGCGGAAGGAAGGAGTCACTTTAATTGCTGCAGTCTGTAGGCTGCCTGGGGTTGGCGGAGGGGTGGCATCAACAATTCAAGATGGCCTTTCCTACCCTCTTCAGTGCCCCTTTCAGGAATACGAAGTTAAAAGTAGGTACATGATTGCTCACCTGGGTTTTATTCTTATAATGGTGCTTTTTGTCTGTAATTAGTTGGTAAAATTTGGTGTTCCAGGAGAGGAAGACAATTGGTGGAGGCTTGTGTTCTGCCATCTTGCTCCGCCCCTGCCTTTTTTTTTTTAAATGGGTACACAATATTCATTCAAACATATTTATAAGACATATAAGTACATGTATATTAGATAATGATGCAGGCCATGCACAGCATTAAAATTTGGTGATATAACGGTGTCTGTTTTAGACTGGATGGTCAGGGAAGGCGTCTAATGAGGGAACATTTAAGCAGAGATGTAACTAAGGAGCCAGCGTAAACCAAGATCATTTTAGACAGAGTGTAGTGGCCTTAAAGTAGGAATTGCATGTTGAAGGAATAGAGGGAAGGCCT